AAAATTAATCTTTAGCCTTTTTTATCATACCTATCATTAAGTAAAACAAATTATCTTTATGTTGTAAATACAGTACAAAAATTACTAAAAATATATTTTTAAGCTTTCGTTAAAACCAAGGACCGTGATTTAGCATCGCTGTCGTATAGGCAACCCAACATACAAATTGAAACTGAGGCACTTTTGCAGTATACTGCCTGAAACATACATATTGGCATATTGTTAACACTTGTTACGTTCTTAAGAAGCTACGACCAGTCTAAGATGTGTTAATTAATATATCGTGGCTGCTAATTTCATGTTAATTGTCGAAATACGAAGTAATTAATATTGCTAGGAATAAGGCGGCAATTTTTGAATACTTAAAATGTGGTAGAAAATTAGGAACGGTTTGAGTTGAAATTTTTGTTATAATTAATAACTTTTCGTCATACCTAAATATACCCATACTATTCGGGAAAAATTTTCCTAATACATTTTTTTTTAAGATAAAAAGAAGTATTTCTGTAGGAATATCTGTGGATGTGATATTTACTTGTTTACGAGAAAAACAACTGGCTATGTTCCTTCGACGTCGTACCAGTAACAATCTGCAAACGGCGATAAAACAAAACACCCTCTTCCTTATTATTAGGGATCCAAAATAAGAAAAGTCAACGAAGGTGGAAGAAGAGGACGGCTGAAATATTATATTATCAGATATGATATCTCCGGGGGAAAGCCAAATTACCGGCATCAACTGTTACTGAAAACACTAAACAGCAAACGACACCGTATCGTCCGCAAGCGAAGTCAGTGGCGTGGAAACAAATTTCATTTTCACATGTATCGTATAAGTACTTCCGTATTACGGTTTTATAAGAGTTTACTTAAAATACAACAAAACAACACAAGCGAATTTGAAGAGGCCTTGCCCCATATAAACAATAATACAAAATGGGGAACTGTTTATTTGAAAAATAAGTTAATACATCGAAAAAGAGATAAAAATAACTAATGTCAAGAGTATATCGAAAACATATTTTAAGGTTTTGGATGATGGTTTCTCTAGTCAAATTATAAGAAAAAATTCCGTCAAATTGGAGTCTAAAAACGGTTTTAAAGAAATGGTTTTGTCGGCAATACTACATAGTTTTCTGATATTATTGCCCTAAAAAAATCCACCAAACGTGATAAATTAGGATGTGATTACCTTTAACGTGATTAATATTTTTGAATCATTTTATAAATGTAAATTAACCAAACAATATAAAATAATGTCGAAAAATAATAGCTTTATAAAAGGGAAACGAAACACGGAGGATAATGGTAGTCAGTCGCGTGCTTTTTTCTTTTGCATATTAAAAATATGGCCTCTGTCGGTTGGACTTAGTTGTCACTTTTTAGTATTCTGCATTTTCACTGTACAATTTAATATTTTCTACCATTTGCATCTTTTCATAATAAAGAAAATTCCACTACCGAAACTGTTTATTTTAAATGTTTAAAAATGGCTTATTTTCCTTTTTTCCAACTACAATTTTAATGAGAGCCAAACGAAAACGTCCCTAATTAAAAAACAAAAAAGAAGGCCAATGACACAAGAAATATACCACCTAATAAAATATAAAATGGAAATGAAACAATGGAGCGGAAGGCTAGAATAGGATAAATCCTTTCAAAATAAACCCATTTCTACCCTAACTGATGTAAATATATTCAGCCGCCGTTTCCAGTGGCGTGAAATATGGCCTCAGGTATCAAAAAGGAACAGTTCTTTTCTCGCATATGCCTTTCGGATGGTCTATTAAATCACTGATTGATTGGGTTGAATAAAATTCCAGAATGCGAATAGCGATCGATATAAATAGTGGGATGAGTTACAAACAACATCAAAAAATTTAAAAAAAGATCAATTTTTAATTTATTTTGCGATTTGCTTTGTACTTTATTGAAATAAATATAATTAGTCCTTCAATATTAAACTAACTAACAATAAAATATTACTTAAATTATTATAATTAAAATCCAAATATTTAGTACTAATTTGTTTCATATTTGTGCTAAAATGTTTATTTAAAAAATATAGTAAATTATTTATTGCTCTTTGACGTTTTTACTATTGATTGAATATTTTGAGGATATGAATTTGAATCCAATTTTTGAAAGGTGAAAATTATAAGTATTCCAAGAGTACGTCTATGAAACATATTGAAGCAACCGAAGCTGAAATTTAAGGATAACTAGAAAAGTCTATGTACATAGTTTACTGTTTTGGACATCGTTTGAGAAAACGGCTTCAACAAATAAAACATCGCGAAAGAGCTGGTATTAGCTTTTACGACGCAAAGAACCAACATCAACGCAAAATCACGGTGCTTGAGCATTTTGTGATGTATCCAATTTACGTGAAAGAGACGCAACATAAAATGTTTCATAGTTACATTCTCATAAGGTCCTAATCTAAAATGTAGATTTTTTGTATCTATTTTCAGCGTGAATTACTTTTGTAAGCAAATTTCAACACTCGATATTCTTAATAATAAGAAACCAAGGCTGATATATAAATATCTGATATGTAAATCTTTAATACTCTAAATTTTCATTTATATGAAATATTTCTTTTTCAGTATTTTTATTTTTTATAGAACTTTAAGAACAGCTCGATTTGAAGCAATATTAACTTTTTATACAGAGTATTTTAAGTCTGTGTCATAAATAGGCTTAGTGCACATGCAGAGTCTAACAGAGCCGGCACGAGGCTCGGTGGCCTTCACAGCTGATTCGCTTTTTGAACTGTTCAGTTATTTACGGAACCTTGTAGTAGTCGTGTCGATACCTTTTTATTTTACGTCTGCTATAAATTGTATTCGCCGTGTGTACTTAAATAACTATTTAGAAATAGAAACATAATTTACATTAGCAACTATTAGTTGGGGGTAAAAGTGAAATGACCTGTTTCGTATTGTTTGTGAATTCATTATAAATTCTTGTTACAAAACTAAAGTGACGAGATATTTGAAGAGCCACGCCTCGTCCAGCGGTGAAGACTGTGTATTTTTCTATGAACTTACAGACGTCTTTCTTTTTACATTTAAATAGGTATTTATCCTCTATTTAGTTTTGCTCTTTGGCACTAGTACTATGTTGCGACATATTTTCTGAAAACATATTAATATTTTCATTCGTAATCTGACTACGGTCCTGTTAAACTACGCGCCGCACTAAGCGTAGTCACAAGTTTGGCTTCCGAGATACATGGTGTTGTAATTTAAAAAAAGAATCACGTTTTTGGCTTAAATATTTTACGGAGTTTAAGAAACTTGGGTTAGTTAATTGGTATAAAAATATGTTGACCAGTGGCCCTCATTGAAACGCCAATGAGTTTTTTGGAAATTCGTTGAAGATATTTGATTCCTAAACGTATTTCAAAAATAAAGGATATCTTCTACTTTATTCGAAAAACGTTCAAGTTTATCACATTTAAAAAAAATTAAAACAGAAACTAGGTTGGTATTCATTATTTTTGTTCAAAATCTACATGTTCCCAAAGTTTGTTAAGACAAAATTGAACTAACTAAACAAGGTAAGATACCAACATTTAGTACAAACAAATCACAACTAAAACTAAGCCCAAATCACTTCAGAAACACCAGCTACGTTGCCGCAATATAATTGCTTTGACATTGTATGCTCGCGGGTAAAATCTGAAAATGAAACTGAAAATTACCGGAGATAAGATTTGCCGAACACATATTGCAAAACTGGGCACTTAAATTTCGCCAAACAATAGGCTGTGAAATACGATCGTTACCTTAACAAGACGACCGCGTCGTCACATTAGTGGGATTAAATTATCGCTGGGACAATTGTAAGGAGTCACTCAACTGTCAAATCACGGTCCACATGTTGATTTTACAATGGAGAAAACAAGGAGTTCGAGATACGATAAATAAGTTAAATATACACAGTGTGCCAAACAACATTTATGTCTGTGGTAACAATAATTAAATGAATGGCATTAAAAACTAAAATGACAATATAAAAAATAGTAGATGTTAATTGAAATTATCTATTAATTTTTAGTTGGCTTTATAACTTAAAAAAGAATATGCCTCCATAGCAAATAGGCAAGCAGGAATACGTTATTATAGATTTTATTACGTTTGTCTAAATATGATTTAAGGCACAAATAACAAGGCTTTCCCCCATTTTAACGAAGATTTTCTATTAAATGGACTTAACAATTAGTTTGAAACTCAAATTACTGTTTAGTGTAAAGAAATTTGTAATTTACAATGCCGCTTGTTCAAAAGTGGCAAATTTCTTTACACCAAAAAGTAATTTGAGTTTCAAACCAAGTCCATTTTATAGAAAATCTGCGTTAAAATAGGGGAAAGTCTGTTATTAGTGCATTAATTCATATTTAGACAAACTGTGTAACAAAATCTATAAAAATGTATTGATGGTTGCCTATTTGCTATAGAGCCCTCTTAACCAATGTCATCTTGTCCGCGACAAGTGCAGAGCAAGAAAAGAGATCGCAATGAATATAATTAAGTTGTAGAATATTTAATTTTTTAAATTATGTATTTCTTATATTGCATTCTTTTTATAAAAGAATAACAAAATTGAATAAAACATCTAGGTATGCATTAAACCAAACTTAAATTCATTTTTCAATTTTCTGTTCTTGGGTTTCTTCCAGTTTACAATTTTACACAGTATAAGCCAATTATATTAGTTGACCCACGCAAAGCTAGTTGCTTGTTTAAAAACGCGAGAAAAAATCCACACTAATTAAATTAAGTAGGAAAACTAGAATAACATGTGGGGTATCCAACTAATTAATGAACAATTTCATTGCTTTATTCCATCTGACAAAGCACCGATAATGATGTACTCTGTCGCAATTTTTTTCGGTCACTGTGTACCCACTCAAGTTCACGTATGCACATTCAGGGCACATAAAAGCATCTTCAGCGACGTCTAAGTCAGTGCTCCTCGCCTGGTGACAAATATATGCTGTCGAAAATGCAGAGACAATGAGTGGTTTACGACTGTTTTGCATCATGCTTGTTTGCACGGGCTTCTCGAAGTGCAGTGGGATTACTAACTATGAAAATGATAAGGTAAGTTTTTTATGTTTTCTAGGAAATATTGAACAATCCAAAAATTTATTACTTTAATTAATTCATTCAATAATTGTTCATGAATTTGGCCAAGTTGTATTGGTATGTTTACCAACTGCAATAAATTGGCCAATATATTGCGAATAATATAATTGGTTCCATCAACATGTCAATTTTAGCGATTTTGGTGACTTAATTTTGGGCATCTTACAGAATAAATAAAATTCATTAAAATGAATATATTTTCATGACCTATCGTTATATGTAACATTTTTTTTTATTTGTAATTATGGACAATTAAATAGTTCATTAAATAAATTTAAAAACTACACGGACCGACATAATTTTAAACCAGAAACTAGGCTATATATTTCCGAAGGTTTTTGAGGTTAACGTCGCTAACCAATTTTTGCTTTTGACAAGGAAAAGTAAATTCAAATGGCATAAAAAATGAACGAAACATTCAATTTTCGTGATTGCAAAAATGTATATACAGGGTGGGCCATTAGTGTGAGAAAGTAAAATAACTCCCTTGTTACTCATTATACAAAAAAAGTAAAAACTACAAAACTAATTTGAAACATACAGGGCGATGAGTAAAAACGGGACACACCAAAGATTACATTTTTTAAATGTAACACCCTGATTATTTTTAAACATATGGATTTCCGAAAAAATTCTATATATGGCAATATAAACAGTTTATCATTTTAATGCGGGGTGGTCAAGTTATGTAGAAAATTCTTCGAATTTTGGAAAAAACATGACCTCGAATTAACTACGAACACTTGGAGCAAAAATATTTCGTAGAGTTATAGGCAAATGTTAGGCAAAGACTCCTATATTTAGCTAATATCGATATTTTATACAGGGCATTTTTTATAATTCGATCATTTTTAGAAAGTTCAAACTTGATTTCCCAAAATCCGAAGAATTTTCTACATAACTTGGCAACCCCGCACTAAAATGTTAAACTGTTTATATTGCCATATATAGAATTTTCTCAGAAATCCATATCTTTAAAAATATACAGGCTGTTCCATTTAAAAAAAATGTAATCTTTCCCATCGCCCTGTACGTTTCAAATTAATTTTGTAGTTAGGTTTTTTGATTCTGTACAACTTTTATACAAACTTTTTTTCTGTATTATGAATAACAAGGAAGTTATTTTACTTTCTCACACTAATGGTCCGCCCTGTATATATTCTCGCAACCGAGAGAGATGGACTAAGCAAATTTGGACAGGACATAGCTAATAATACAATGCGAAACATCGCCTTGCAGTTGAAAATATTGTCACAGCCGTTCGTGGTGGTGAAAATTCGAAATATTTGGAATTATTCAATTTTCGCAACCGAGGAAGATGCTTTAACCAAATTTTGACAGGACAGCTAATACAGTGCAAAGCATCCCCTTTCCCTAAATCGGACAATTAGTTCCGCTATTGTCAGTCTATATTCTTTAGATCTCTCAGGGATTATAGGAAGAATCCTGTTTATAAACAGGATAGTTTAAATTTTATTTATTATTATTCTTAATATAGAAAGTCAAAATTCAAATTATTTTCACTTAATTTTCCGAAGACTTGTTAAGACAAAAAAAAATTAAGTGAATTATTGAAGAGACAAATCCGTTATACGAAACAAATTCTTAGATATGGACTGAGGAAATATGTAAAAATAACTTTAATTTGTAAACCAGGTCGATAGTGAATAGAGAATCTTTATCTGTATAAATCTACTGAAAGACATATGTCGTTTTTCTTAATTTCAGAATTTAATAGGCGAAGATGAACGGAGAGGCGTCATTGTAAAGGAAGGTGATGGGATCAACGATCAAAAGCATTCAGGGACCAAACGGGGCTTGTGGTTAATTGCTCAACATCAGCATCCGTCAGGTAGGTACATTGAATGGACATCAAATAGTTTTTTTATTTGAATTTATTAATGCATACTAACTAGCGCTCTTTATAATCTTGGTTGAGCAGGTTTGTTTAACAGAACATTTTATTTTAAATCTGATTTTTTTTCTGAATTTAACAATATATGTTATATTATGTTTGCAATGTTATGGCAGAAAATATCACGCATATTTTTAGCTCTCCAAACTGAGGAGGAAATATGTTTTAGAAATTAATTTAAGTCTTAAATCAAGAGAATCAAAGTGGCCTAGGAGAATTTTTACAGGTTTGTCGTTTTAACAGATAATACTTTTTTATAGACGATTATGGTGCAGGTGATATTGGAGCAGGTCATCATGGATCTAGTGGACCTGGAGGGTATGGATACTACGATTCAGGTGGATACGGAATTACTGGTAGTGGATATAATTATGGAAGTAGTGGAGGAGGAAGTTATTACAAAGGTAATACGTGTTTTTTTAATATAGTTGGCGAATAACATTGAAAACTATTGCAACTACATATACACTAGGTACAGAAATTAAGGGATATTAAAAAAATCTTAAAATTTTGGGTGATTTTTAAAGAGCTGTAATTTTCATTTTTTTTAGAATCTTGAACACTTTTTGATAAAGAAAATGTGAATTATTGATGAAAAAACATTTTTAACTTAAAAAAATGAATAAAAAGTGAAAAATTAGTTAGTACATTGATTTCCAGCAAAAACGACAAATTTAAATATTCCGGGCACTAAGAAAAAAAATCGCAGAGTTTTGAAATTATCAGGATTTCTTTAGGACACTTTGAGGTTGAAAAGTTACAGTATCCTTAAAACATTCATTATTTGCAAAGTTATGCCCAGTTATTCAAATATCCCTAATTATGCAGTTTTTTACCATTTTTTTAACCAACATTTTCACTTCGAAAAAATGTTTTTTATCAAAAACCAATAATTACGACTTTTCAGTTTTCAAAACCCTGCTTGGATTTTCTGTATGACCATTACTTCCCGAGTAATTGATTGCCAAAGTCAAAAATGATTTTTTTGCTTTAATTGATTATGACATAATCCATTTGAACTTTGATCTTTCGGTTTTTCAGAGGCCTTAAACACATTTTCCACATGTTACTTAAGTAACAGACGTTATTATTGTCAGATATCTAAATTTCACTTCGAAGTAGTTTTTTCCTACACTGACAGTTCCACAAGGTTCGAATTTAGGCCCTATACTATTTACTTTTTACTAACGTCTTTATGAAGTCATTACTTTTAAGCATTTTTTATTTGCTGATGATTTTAAACTTTGTTTGATTTGTATTCAGCTGCAATAGGCAATTTTACTTTGTATGTTTTATTGAATTAGCTTTATTTTGTTTTTTTTTTTTGTAGTATATATTAGAGAAGTTGCATTTTTTAATGCTTCTATTCATGTAATTGGAATAATAAACGATATTAGATAAATGTCACAAAACAACAATTTAGTATATAATAAAAATGTTAATAATGGGAAATATAATTTTAAGGACCTAGTTTTGGACAAGGATACGATTACAATGGAGGGGGTTACAATTTTGGACACGGAGGAAGTGGTTTTGGACATGGAGGAAGTGGTTTTGGACATGGAGAGGGTGGTTTAGGACATGGAGGAGGTGGTTTTGGACACAGTGGATACGGAGACTCTGGACATGAAGTGTCCCAAGAACACAGCGGCTACAATGTAAGATTTTACAATACAATAGTTTTATTTGCCTAAACATATTATCCAGATGCAAACTTACTGTGTATGTATACGATTTTCCCTATAACAGGGCCATGGGCGTGTCTTACAAAATTGTCTTCATTTCCAGTGTCTCTGTCGCAACTTTATGGCTAAATTATAACTTTACTGTATGCCGAATGAGCTCTGAATAATGTATTGTCTGGCAACGTTATTAAGACACGACCAACATTATTAACACAAACGGAATCCCCTTGTTACTATTAACCACAAAGTAAACATTTATCATTTACTGGACGACAAAGATATACCGACCATGTTTTGATGAAAATATTCGTTTCTGAATATTGCGTTAAGAAAAAATAACTACAAAAATATACACTAATGCAAACAATTAAAGGGTCAAAAGAATTTCCGAAATTTTTCCGTGATTTTTGACAGACTGTAGTTAGGTGAAAAATGGTCGTAAAGGGAATTTAAAAAAAAAGCATTTTGAAGCTCTAAGATTCTAGTTTTTAGATCATTCTGTCGAAAATTTTTAGGAGCTACGGTTAGTATCATGCAATTCTAAGACCTAGTACGACAAAAAAATGTTGCAATTTTTTTTTCCAACGGTCCACGGACTTGGAAAAATGTTTTTCAGCTAAGCCATTGCATGGACCAGATAGCTTGTTTATTCAGCTTCAATTTCTTTTTTTTTTATTTCGATACGACCATTTTTCATCAAAAAATCGGACTTTTAATGGAAAAGGATCCTTTTGTCTTCAACCATCGATATCTCGGAGACAAATGGTCGTACAGAGAATTGAGGGATAGTTTCAAAAACTGGAATAGATTTCCTATAATATGCTGCCGCAACTTTTCGGAAAAAAATTGTTTTTCATCTTTTAGTCTTGAAGAGAAGTCGTCTTGAAATTGAAAACTAGTCCAACGCAATGCTCACAATTTACGCATCTAATTTATTTATTTATGTTTCAGAAACTAGCTTTAAAAAAGCTGTTAATCCCTCTGGCAGGGTTAGCCGTATTGGGAGCAGTGGCTGCATTGTCCAGCAATCCGGTTCTGCTCCAACTCGGAACTGTACAGAGTGGAAGGAGGAAAAGATCGACTACTTCTGAAAGCAGCAGAAGTGAGGTTTATCCATTTAACCCGTGGATAAGACCAGATTACGAGTTTAGTTAAATAAGACACTAGTTTAGAACCATTACGAAGAAATATTAACTTATTTTGTAACTAATATTACAACAAAGGATTGCATCATTCAAATAAATATTTAATTTCTTATTACGTGGTTTTTATATTTGCTCTAAACGTTTTCTAAAGGGTAGTTAGGAACAAATGCCTATTTCCTAACTGTTACTGATTGCATTGTACTTAAAACTGTATTTGTAATAGAAATTCGTACACCCTGTATCTCGCAAACGAAGCAAGGTACTTCTGGTCGAATTTTGGTCTCAAGATTATCAAGGTGGCACTCGTGCACCTTTACTTAAATACGCTCTGTACAACAAGCAATTAATTTTTCTACGTTTTCAAAACGAGATATCTGTTAAAGAATTTTTAGCACCTCATCTATCCACCACATGCCTCATCAGCGCAACATTGACGCAAGGCTCTCGACCGCGAAACCAAACATGTTTTATTTATTCGACATCATCGAAAGGTGTAAATGCATCCAGCATCTGTTCTCTGTTTTTGCTCTTTGAGTATTTATATGGCGATCGATATCACCGACGCACGTCTATTTCTATTTAAAATAAGTGAACGACCGATATTTAAAACACTCGGCTTGCTGAATTGCTACGCTATTTCCGACTCGACGATAAAAGGAAATTAATCAAATCGAAAATATAATAACTCAGACGGTGTCGTAAAGTGAAGCATCATTTTGTCGTTAAGAGTTAGGATTACGGGTTATTAGAAATCAGAACTCAAGAGAACATAGCCTAGATCCTTGTAGAAACTACTAATGTCATTACATTATCCATTAGTTTCTTTGATGAGCATAATTAAAACCATTATATTTATTGGAACAGCGGTGCACGCATCTTCTGTCATCTAATGTTAAAGAAAAAAAATAATTAAGGTTATCATCTCCAAGCAGAAACAAGCTTCCAGGAGACCAATATCTCTTGAACGTGTTAGAAGCAGAAGATCAAGCGAATGCAAGTATGAAAATCTGCTCTTTGCACTAATTACTAAGAAAAGTATGTTCATAGAGCTTGTCGCTTTAGGTTTAAGCGTCCTCAATAAAATACATACCGATAATTTTGAAGAAGCACAAACACATTCTATTTTGACATACCGTAAGTTTTTGTTGCTCACCCTGTCCACAATTTTATAATCTCCAAACGATCCCGTTTAGAATAATATCAAATGCTCAACCACGTACGCTTAAAAGCTAGTTATACAAACTATATCGTGACATGTTTCAATTACATATCAAATGATTCATGTGTTGGCGTTGAAATAATACGGCATTTGAAACATCGAGACTAGAAGTAGGTATACCTACATAAAATAGATCCCAGCCCTTACCACGTCTTGTCCTGTCTAATGTGCCTACGTTCTACCTACCACTGAACACCCTGATTCAATTCAAAGATAGGTCTATGATTCAAAGATGCAGGGGCGGGCTCCCTGTAGTCTTTGAAATTTATAGAAACTAGGAAGCGTTAGGGAGAAGGAGGCAAGGATCAAGACACTCACAAAACGTGAAGTACTGAAGATATATATACAGATTAATTATTATCTACATTAAAACACCTAGTATTTTTTCGATTTACCATTACATTTCAAAGAAAGTGGCACATATTGAGACCAATCTGCAATATTGGGTTTTCCCTACAATCAGTTGAACTGATATGAATATTGGGAATTGATTTATAATTGCCTATAATCCATAAACAAAATAAGTAAGGGTTTATATATCAATGGAAAATTAGATAAAATGGTTTCAAAGAATGTGATATTTTCAGATGATACCCTTCTTTGTATTTCCAGCTCGATTACCATTATTGCACCATTTAAAAGCGACTTATACGGGAACATGAAAAGATGCCGAATACCATACGAGCAACAAATTCTGAGAAAAAATTAAGGCAATTCTAATAAATGATGATACAGCAGTGGATATTCTTGAGGCCCGTAGTTCGACCTACCTACGCTAAAAATATGTACAGAGTGAGTCAATTTCAATGAGGTTTTAGGGTTCTTAGAGCTCTATTCTCAAGATGATATCTGCATTGGTTTTCGAGAATGATATTTACTTTTACATTTGCGACCACTTACTTATTAGGTTAGAATTAAAGTTAAAACTCAGCACTATGAACTTTCCGAATTAAAATCGATTTGTGACTAGATTGTATTAGCTTTTTAAAAACATAATTTTTAGGCTTTAGAATGATCCCCATGCATTACCATGTATCTTAACAAATACTTACGAGAAAAATAAACTGTTTTATATGAATCACATTTTTCATTTTTGATAAAAGTGGTATTATTTTTTCCTTTTTTCAGCTGGGACTAAGTCAGGACCACTTTTACACGTGTTGGCTTTTGTCAAATAATTGTGTAATGATATTTATTTCCGTATTCACAATTATATTTTTTACTTAAAATAAAATAAAAATAAAACCCAACACATAATGTCTTGAAGACGTCGTAATAAAAATGTCAACAAATTTTAGTAGTTTTTTTGTAGGTACTCATTGACCTAATCCAGATTAAAAAAAGAAAACAGTAACAACTAGAGGTCACTAATTAAATATTTAAAGACGTATTTTACCTCTAAAAAAAATTCATTTTTTCCAAAGTAATTTTCAGTAACAGTATGTACATATATGACTGCAAAAACGAAAAGAAAAAAAAGGAAAAATGTTCCCTTATGAATAAATTTAAATTTTATAGCTTTCATGGCATTCCAGCTAAAACTAGGTAAATTATTGTCACAAACAACAATATCCGTCAAAAAATAGGTAGGTATAGCTTATTTACATAACTGTATTTTTCCCTACTTTTAGAAATAACTGTGACATATTATATCGTCATCGTTGAAAGAAAATATGTGTAGTGCTCATTAAAATAAGATAAGAATCCGAAAATGTTTTCTCCAGGGAAAGGGTGTTAAACTTTTTTTTTGTCATATCGATGCAAATATTTTGAAAGATATTTGACGTAGATTAATGCAAGTCTGTATAGGTACATTTAAGCAAATAATAAGGGAAATACTGGAAAAATTGACACCAAGAATATCGCCCTTTGACTTGAAAACAAATAAAGATATGAAAAATTGTCACCAAAAATATCGCCCTTTGACTTGAAAACAAATAAAGAAATCAAATATTTGATATTTAATTTTGACAGTTGTGTATGTATGCAAATGCTGTACACGAAATATTTTTGTTAGAGACAGTTGTTTTGTTATAAGAATCCACAATATATGCCCATAGCTCAAAACCCATTAGTAGTAGTAGAAAGATAAATAAACAATTTAATTCGCAATTTCAAACAGAACAATGTGATCACCTTAAAAAACCGTTTCGTGATCTATCGTTCAGTATAATTAACAGATATAACATAAGTCAACACAAACACAACACAAAAACTTCATAAAGGCAAACAAAAACATGAGCTACTATCGAGGCTACTGCTGTTTTTTGCTTCTTATTCAGGTATGCTTTTTGCTTGTCAAAAGAATCCTGTTATATAGATACAAATCATTGAATTTCAAACAGTACAACAAGATCACCTTAAAAAAATACTAATTGAGTTAGATCATTTTATCAAAATTGTAATAAGTAGGTCATGCATTCGCATCCCTATTTAGTTAAAAAAAAAAACGGTCCCATGCTCAACTTGAAAAATATGGTTGTCAGAAAGAACTAAAAAAACTTCTACAAAAAGCAATCCGCATTTGGCATTTGCCTTTTTCTATTGTGGATTTGTGGATGTTATTGACTTACCTATTCGTAGCTGAAAACTGACCGCCAGCCAATTATTCACTCACTGCACTTACACAACACGAGCTTACGCACCGCGTGCAATTTCGCCCAAATCAGTTCCTGCATCTAAAAACGCCAAACTCCCAGGCATTCTCACGTGCATAAACCTAAGCCCCAGGTGATGCCGATCCGATAGATACGCGCCGGCCACGCATCATTAAAATTAAAACTAATTGCTTTTAATTATCCGGCACTGAAACTGAGACCTTGTTCTTTACGGCTGTTACGCGACCCGAAACAACACAACGCGAGTAGGGCCGGCACGATCTTTCGGTGTTTGTTTTTTCGCTGTCAACCTGCGTTGTAGGTTAGGAGCCTTTAAAGACCAGGAAGTGGTTGGGGTAACTTTAAACCGATTTTTTTTCGGAGGCGCTTCAAACGGTCTACGGATGAGACGAGGATGATCGCAGTGCTGGAAACGCAGCTCAGTAATGTGAACTGGTGCGCGATGCACGACTACGGTGCAACAGCAACTTAAGACACCTTTTCCTCTCAAGCGATTCGATGACCCCTAAGAAGGAACTTTCTCAGGGCCGGATTCGAAGCCAACGGTAGTATAAACTTCTACGGAACTCGTCATCTATTTCACCGCATGTGAATAAATTGGTGGTGTTTTATATTCGCAGTTGTATATTTGCGGATAAACATATTGGAAATGTGGAAATAGGTATAAATGGATAAATGGGCAATTTGTATTTGATTACGTTATCAGATAAACTCATAATATATTTTTTTAGTAAAAATCGATACCTATGTTGTAATGCGTACCAACTAGATAGATACGTTTTGATTTAAATGTACCTACCTACTTATATACTGGGTGTCTTGTAAAAAACACCAGTTATAACTTCTCCATTTTTATCCAATTTTAAAAAACAGAGGTTTCATGTTAATAAACGCTTATTTTGATAACAAGTAATTGTATTTTTTTTTCAAATTTAACAATATACAATTTGATTTTTGAAAAAAAATTGCACGAAAAATACATAAAATACTCGTAAAATGATTGTCAAATGTAATTTAAGATTAGAAACAAACAAACTAAGTCATAGTTTTACCCAGTGCACCAAAGATTTTTGTTGATTTCTGAGTTTAAAGACAGAAACTCGATGACACCAGTGGCGGCAGGTGAAAATTTTGACAATAAAACATGACTATACATACTCTTTTTAAGAAATGAATATCCAAGTCCAAAAAGACCACTTTCATGAGGCACAAAATTGAAGTGGTCGTATATTGAAAAAGAAACGTGGGACCCACACCGTTGTTTAGGGAATGATTTCTATGCTCATAAAGAGAACTTTTATGACGAAAATCATTCGAATGAAATATGTGAAATGTTTTCAGAAAAATGGGCAGCGATAATGTTTTCAGATATGTGAATTACTATATGTTTCGTTGACATATTTCTTTAAATTTCTGATAAATAATATCACACTTTTTTTTACACAGTTGGGAGTTAGCACGACAGATGGAGCCATCTGCGCTCCGCGGATAATATCGCACTGTTTTTAATTTTTCTGATGACGAATCTAACGTACCTTTCTTCGAAGCGTTCAATATTACGTTATTATCCAAACATTTTAGAGAGCACACAAACGACAACAATACTCTAAAACGAATTCGTTGGCAGTAGCAGATATGTATTTACTGTTAATAACGAAGCAGTAGTTACTATGAAAAGGAATAACACAACTTCTGCCTCGAATTTGAAATACGAGTGAGGCAAAAATTTTCACAACTAAATTCTTTATACACTGTGTCCTAAAATGATGGAACAAAATTCATTTTTTTTTCAGTTGAAATTTAAAAAAATGTTGAAACAGGTCAATTAGTAAATAGAAATTGCCACTTCTCTGCAATATTTTCTATTTTTTTGAGCCATGTTTGACAGACCTATAACATTTTTTTTAAATATGTTGTACCTACTTTTTTGTCATAGTTGTCAAAAATGGAGGAATTAAATGAAAACAATAATAGTGTACTGCACCAGCAAGCATATCGTGCTCAGTAGGGTTAAGAAAAATTATTTCCAGGGCTGGAATCAGCTGAAAACGCAAAAAGAAATAAGTGATATCCTACGTTTCCAGTCCAAACTTTCACTTTTTCCAGCCATTGTGTATGTTTTTCTTGCATCCAAAGAGGATTTTCTGAGCTCCAAAACCTAGTATTTTGCCTATAACCTTATATCACTATTCGTCTTTAGAAAATTTCGGAAGCTACATTTCATTATTTTAAATAATCAATCGGATGGCATAGAAAACAATTGTTTTAGTGTTAAATCAGCAAAAATAACGATTAAAAAATGGAAATTGAAAAAGTAGATATGACCACATATCGCTGAATTCGTCTATAGAAGGGCTATTGTCGGTAATGTTATAAGTATGTTAAACATGTCTCAAAAAATAGAAAATATTTCAAAAAAGTGACAATTTCTATTTACTAATTGATCTGTTTCAGCGATTTTTAAAATCAGAACTGGATAAAATGTGAATTTTGTTCAATCATTTTGGAATACAGTGTATAACTTATTATTTACAGGGTGGGCCATTACTGTGAGAAAGTAAAGTAACACCCTTGTTATTCATAATACAAAAAAGTCTATATAAAAATTGTACAAAATCAAAAAACCTAAACGACAAAATTAATTTGAAACACACAGGGCGATGAGTAAAAACGAGACACGTCAAATATTACATTTTTTAAATGAAACACCCTGTATATTTTAAAACATGGATTTTTGAGAAAATTCTATATATGGCAATATAAACAGTTTAACATTTTAGTGCGGGGTTGCCAAGTTATGTAAAAAATTCTTCAAATTTTGGAAAAAACATGACAATATAGGCAAAGACTCCTATATTAGCTAATATCGATATTTTATACAGGGCATTTTTTATAAACGAACATGTTCTATACCTAAAGTTGTTAGTTTTCTAAGATATAGCAATATTTCTGGAAAAAACTAATTTTTATTATTTTCGGCCGCACGGCTTTGGAAAAAACAATCACATTGTGTGAACTTGTCAGTTCATAATTTATCATTCCATTTTGAGTTAATTTTATTATTTTATAAAACTAACAATCTTAGATATAGAACATGCTTAATAAAAGTTGAAGTGGGCCGATATGCGAATAAAATAGAATAATAAAATACAGGGTGTTCCATTTGAAAAATTTTAGAAAATCAAGTTTAAACTTTCTAAAAATTCCTCAAATTAATTTTGTAGTTTAGGTTTCTTGATTCTGTATAACTTTTATATAAACTTTGTTTCTGTATTCTGAGTAACAAGGGAGTTATTTTACTTTCTCACACTAATGGCCCACCCTGTATATATTTATTAAATAAACAACAATCATAGAATACTACCGTATGTAAAAGTTTGTTTATGGCGTTTCTCATATTATCCTTCATTTATTTTCACGACGTGTGAAATTTTTTTACATTAAATACATAGAGAATATTACGGTTCTTCTGACACCTGAGATATTCTCGGTAATACAACACTGGCTCATAAACTGGCAATAAAAATTTAAAACTATTAAAGTTATAATGCAATCTCCTGTTGCTGGCTTAACATCAATAAAATTCTTCCTTTCCACTGCATCCACTGTGGTCGAACAGATACGCTTCGTGAATGAAACGTGAATTTTTTTCTAGAATCTGTATTATTTATCCCAAGAAAGATTTTCTCACACGTATAAAATTTATGCTGTACATTATTCTGTTAGTCAAAAATTATTACCTCTTTTGTTTTAAAAATTACAGCAAGATATTTTTTTTTCTTAAACTGAATTATTTTGTTGCATAAATACTAGTTTTCTTAGTGTTACTTATCCTTTAATTAAATTATCCAAACTTGCTTGACCAATCCCTGCTAATATATTTTTAATAATAACTTACATGATGCAAACAACATTTTTAATTTCTAAATTCTTGAAAAATCGAAACATACAAATTAAATTCAACAGCAAAATATAGAATTATTATCATAGAATTATTATTAACAGTACTAATGTCATCAATTCATTTTAATGTGTTTATAACTATTTTATAGCATTTGTTATTGCTATTTGCAATAGAAACTGAAAAAAACATTTAAGGTTATAGATATTAACAATACATTTGAATCAATTTTCAGCATTATATTGTTACTCAAACCTTTCGAAATGTGTTAATTCCTGTTCATAATTTAGGAAATCTGCATCATTTATTTTTTTTTCAGTATTTAGGAACAATTGGACGAACCCTTTAATTAATGAATAAGTTGCGTAACTATGAAATACGTCTTCTATTCTTATCTAAGATTCACATTATCTACTTTTCTTACATTTCTGTCACACTAAACTACAGACTATCTACTATAAAGAATGGTAATACTGGTGAAAATAGGTTATACCTGTATTGTAATATACTTTATCTGGCATCAATAAGTACTTGGCAATTTTTCTAAAAATCCATTAAATGATTAAGAGTTTATAACCTTACATTTATTTGTCCTTAAATTAATTTCATTTAAGTTTCGAAAAAAATGTTCATCGAAAAACAGAAACATTTTTATTAGTATAGCCGGCCTATGTGTTGGTAATGTGATGTTAAAATCTAGTATTAGGAGAAAAATGTAGTAATTACGGAAACAAAGTCTATTATTTGAAGTTACCTAATGTCCCGTGAAAAATAATGTGCTTCCACTGCGACCTTCGACTTGTGAATGAAGACGCGCCTATAAAATAAAGAATTTTTTGCTCACTGTTACAATCAGTACAGTGGTTCTAGCTGTAACTTCATCATTACAAAATTCGTCGCGAAAAATGAAAATTTTAGTGGTGTTGGCATGTTTCATCGTACTCTCCAGCGCAGTAAGTAGCAGTAGCAGTATAATAAAATAATATTACATATAAACAGAAGGAAAAATTACTGTATTAAATTAAATTAAATAATTTGCTACTTACTAGAGATAATATTATAAAGTTAATTTGTTTTTTGTTTCTTTTATAGCTGGACCAAGATTTTAAAGAAAAATTGATGCAACAAATGGAAGAATATGGAACCAAATGTATCGATGAAGTACATGCAACTGACGGTAACATGTCTTCTCTGAGTATTGATAATTTCGCTTCTTTTAGTTACAAGAACTAAAATTGTGTTTCTAACTAAACGACTTTTACCGAATTTAGTTTTAACCAATGAATCAAATGCGATATGGTGATATATTTTTCTTTTTCAAGCTGACATTGCTGAACTAGTTGCTCACAAAGTACCACCCACTTCCCACGAAGCCAAATGCTTGATCTTCTGCATACACAAGTCTTTTAAAGTGGTAAGTATCTTATTGTCAGTATTTTTTAATTATTATATTTTTTTCCTTATGGTACCCCTGGTTTATTTTCCCTTAATTCTGACAGATTCTTGTAATGTCTGTCCTAGATGTAAGATTGGAGGATTTGGGAACATTGCTTCAAAAAGAGCGAACAATTCTTTATCTTCTTTCACAGTTTACAGGTTTCATTCTTTTTGCAAACATTTTTCGAAAAGTTTCGATGTTGTGGGTCTGTAGGACAAAACTTCATCAGGACGCATTTCTGCCTTGAAGACCATAATGACCATTTTTCCACAATTTAGGTACTGAAGCCTAAAAGTAGCAATTATTAGAGTGGTTAATTTCACTATAGCCTTCCTTGGTAACTGTTTTAATTCTTTTAGTTTCAGTACTTGCTTTTTAGGTGTAGCCAGGTGTATTTCTTGATCTTCTTGAGGACTTTCCTCCCACTCTTCATTTTCTCTGAGTATTTAAAATGTTTGTTCTAAATTGTCTGCAAGCCTTTTGGCCTTCGGTACGTTATTTCTGATCCATTTTTCATTTTCCTTTCTTATTGGTGGAATCTGCATAATTGGCCTAATCTTTTAATTGATTTTCGTAAGGAAGATCTACCTTCTTCCATCAATTTTTTAATTAAGAATATCTTATGTACATCTGTGGGCCAAATAATATATTTCAGAAAAAAAAGCTACAATTTTTGTTCTTACAAAGTGTTCCTTTGTCTTCACCAATATGCCGAGGTTTCATCGATTTTTGAATAATAAATGGAATACACATTTTCTTGTAGATGACCGAAGATGGTAATCCAAACACAGAGGGAGTTCTACAATTAATGGCCCCGTTAAAAGAATCTGATTCTGACATATATGAAAAATTCTTAAAGATTACGGAAAAATGTTCCGATTCTCGTGAGTACAAATTAAAAAAATATTATTGACAATAGTTGACTGAACGTTGTTTTCAGTTGAAAAAGACGACGATCACTGTGTAACTTCTTCTAATTGGGCAGCATGTGGAATCAATGAAGCAAAAGCTGTAAGTATGGTTTTGTTCACATTTTGGTAATAATATATTCTGACTATCAGAGTATGTCATACAATCAAATTAGGGACAATTCCTGATTCTGTTATTCCCAATTTCTAGATGGGCATGCCAGACGATTTATTCCAAATGTAACACAAGTGTTTGATTTTTCGGTATACGATATACATATAGGCGCATTGTAAAATATTTAAAAATTATGTAGACAGCAAAGTTATAGAAATAAAGCATGTATTATCTTTCAATTTTGTATTTATTCTAAAACAACACCACCCTTATGTTGACCTTCAGAAATATTTTTGATAAAACAATATTTACGGTATTAAGAAATTATTGGATAAATCTAATCTAATTTAATTAACAGTCATTTATTATCTAATAATTTAGTGACATTTTTAAACTTCACCTAACAATAACTTACTATAATTATAGATATTCACAAATGTAACAAAAGCCAGATCCGTGTAATTTATGGGGCGATTTTCGGAAAAAGTTCTATTTAATTTAATTTTTAATAACGCGCGAAATGCATTCCAAAGAACGTAGGAATTCCAAGAATAAGTTGTTAGAAGAAATAGCTGGTTTTTAGGCGGATTTTCCAAGCTATAAGAATAGATTAAATGAAATTGACTAATCCGTCCCGTATTGCTACACGGAGTCACTAGAGGAAGGCTAGGGTTACTTGTAAGTCCAATTAGTTGCAGAATTATTTATATAAATGTAAATTCAGTCCATTAGATAACTATTAACATGGCATAGTTATGCCAAAGCGTCCTGATATTCAGGGTTCCCGCCAGTAAGAAGAAACGTCTGGATCCAAGAAATGGGCGTGTCGAAGCGAGGTGTCGAATTCAGGATAGATTTCCGAAAAACAGGCAGTTTTTCCTTGGGTTCCACATTGAGCAGTCTACTTAGTTTTAGAGTCTACGGTTAATTTAATAATGGATAAAGTCATTCCAAACCACTGAATTACATTCTATATGAGCGACGTACGGTAATTGTCTGAAATTCATTCTCTGTACGTACCTACTAAGTTCCCACGTATTAATTAAAGTGTAATGATAATTATAAATTCCCTTTCGAGAATTAAATAGTAAAGTCTTTTGAAATCCAGACTCGTTATGATACTGATCATAATGGTAGATAGATAATTAAAGAAATAACCCCTCAGGTTACACAAATATGGAAGGTGTAACTTAAGTAGAGAAAAATATTACCAGAAGGGTTTCCTTAGATCGTTTTAAGAAGAAAAGTTCCTATGAATCTATGTTCTAAGTGAAGCTTTAGAGATAGAGTGTTAAAGTATTTGAAAAATACTGTCTGGTCACTATGAACCAGGAATTTTTATATGGTGGCCTTTTGGATGTACCTTTTTGAAACGATTTTTGGAAAATTACCTGTTGTAATTACCAAATTCTAATCATTTTGGGGACTTCTTATTCTGTCTACATAACCTTAATCAGCATTACTGAAAAGCGCTATATCTTAAATTTCTCAAATTTGTCGTTGTGGAATTGTCGAAGATAAAATCTCATCCATCCTCAAATAACTAGTGCATCTTAATTAGCCAAACTATGTACAATATAATTGAAACTCACCCTGCAACACAAGTAGCTAAAGTCTTGATAATATTATTTGTTCCCTTTCATTTATCCATTACTATTCGTCAGACTAGGTATACTGTATTGAATTTGATGTCCTACATAGAAATTATGTAAATATGCTCAAGAAATCTTATTCTTTCACGTGTACAGCTTGACCCAATTCATCTTATCCGCGAATTTCAACAGTGGTAATGCTGCCGTTCTAGCACCGTAGCTCATTCTCTGTCTGTCAAACGGTGAACATGGATGTGCCTAACATTCCACAGAAGGTATCTAAGCCTCCTGTGTTTGTAACTTCTACTGACGATTCTCTTCTTGGTCTGGCGGACAAGATGATATTGGTCAAGCTGCGCATCAGTAATCTACTTAAATATATTCAGCAAATAAAATCCAGTAGGTGCAGTTAAGCACGGTGAACAACAAAGGGAAGAATATCCTAGAGAATCTGTCGATGTTGATGGCTCTGTTCCTCCGTATTTGCGCAGGAGTGGGGGACGGAGGCGATTTTGGAGGGGCGCATAGTAGCAGGGAGTTCTCCTTGGGCGCATCGAATATGTTGTTCGTCGCGCTGGCCTTTTTGGGTGGCTGGGGAGGCTTGGGTGCGTCCGAATCTCCCAGGACTATGTTGACCAAGCAGTACTCCATTAGAGCCATGAAGACGAAACTAGAGAAGAAACGGAGATGATTCATTTTAGGTCATTCATGTAACAAAAAAAAATAAGGTTCAGTTGCACTTCTTTTTTGTTTAACGCCATAGATAGCGTGATACTTACACAGTACATGCTGACATAAACGCATCGACGGCTTTCAAATAAGACACCGGTGGGAGAGCAGCTTGACTCTTAGCATGCTGAGTAGATAGAGTAAGTAAAGATGTAACTCCTAGAGTAACTCGAGCAGGTGCTGCTTCAGGTTTTATCCAAAACGACACCCACTAAAAATAGATTGAATTGTGAGTGATAGGTACTTAATTGTTAAAATTACATCTCAAAGTCAAAGAGTTTGTTTAAAGAAACAGTGTGGATGTGAGAAAGGGCAAGCAAATTTTTTCTGTATTACCATCAGTACAACTTAGATAATAAAAGTGTAGATCCCTAGATCTGGGCGAGGTCCGGAACATTTTCAAAATTGCAAAAATGTTTAAAAAATTTAAAAAAATACCTGTTTACATCCAAGAAGGGGGATATTTCGACAGATTATAAAGTAAATAAAGCCTATGTACTATAAATACTCACCGACATAATAACAATCAAGCACGTGGGAATGTAAGTATGAAACAAATAATACCCCAGTCTTCTTTTCAATACGAATACCACTTCCAAACAGGTGAAGTTGCCTTAAAAATACGTAATCAAGTAATCATGAAGATTTTATATGGGTTTGATTACCTGTAGAGTAAACCTGAGTGCAGTCAGCTGTATAGTTTTTTACCAAAGCTAATTGGGGTAGTTCAATGTTTTCGTCCACTACCAAGGGCACATCTGGGTCCCATTGAAATATCATGTCGTCGGTAGTATGCGATACTGTATACAGCAGAATATTCAGACTTTCAATTAAATTATATTTTAAAACTAATAGAGTAGTACTTACAACTCTCCATTTGCAGTTTACATTCTTGAGTATCGTGGGGATAGATCATAAAATTCATTGCACAAGAAAGCCTCAGTGTTAACCTAAAACCAAATAATTTCATACAGCCCTACTTAGAGAAAAATTATAACTTACTTGACCATATAAAGGATAGTTTTATCTTTGTAAAGCCACATGTAATGATTCGGGATCGTCATAGTTTGAAAAATGACGGACTTGGCGTTTTTAAAGAATGAATCAGGCCTCCACATATTCTTCAACCATTCTACTTCTAAAAGTCTGTACTCTGAAGTCATATTCTCCGGTAGCCTTAAACGATGGTCTTTCCAAGTTTGAGCGAAAAAAATATCCGCAGCGTAGGTCTGCAAGCACAAAGAAAATTATTTGATTTTAATGGAAAGACAATACATGACTATACTTCTATAAAGTTTAAACATTTATGTATGTTCTTAGCAGAATTTTTTAAAATTATTTCAAAAGTTATTGCTAACTAAGACCGTACCATCGAATTCTCATCGATGCTATCCAAACCCATGACAGTGACGTGAAAATAAACAATAGTGGGATTTCCATCTCTCTTTGGAGGTCTCATTTTATCGTATTTACTGGGATCCTCAGGTAAAATATCATGTATTGTTAAGCCAGTGCTAAAAATTACACAACTTAGTATCAAAAAAAGAAAAGTTTTTGGACCTACGCTTGTTCTTCGTGGTGTGGTTGTTCCATCTTTTTCTCAGAACTTTGCTCCTGATAAAAATCTAACGGGCATAAGCTGCAAAATAATATTTTAATTTTTACTCTCTTTAAAGGATTAAGTCAGTAAAGCTATTATAAATTAAAATTATTTTTCAATAAAAAGTGCACATGCTCGTAAATATTATTTTTTAATGGTTCATATATGTTCTCGAAAAATCCTACAATATTATATATTGTTAAGTCAAGAATAGATACAATTATATGTGAATTAGTAATACCTTGCCTGTCATTTAAATTAAATTTGGCAACTATGAAATCACGAAGTTAGTATTGCAACCAATAGTGTACCATGTATGTTCTGTTGCGCCAAATGAGGCGAATATTCCGGAACTGAATACATGTTTTTGAATGTATCGATATGCAGCATCCACACGATAAGGCATTTGTTTATGTTCGACAAATATTTCTAACTTAATTGAAAAACAATCCGAATATTATTAAAACATATTTAAGGACTGTCCATCATGGGAACTAAATGCCAAATATGCGGTATAAGTACCGAAAAGATTTGTACAGATTGAACATCATGTATTATCGCGATTCTAATACTAGATCTTTCAAAAAGCGTGTCAAGGATCCTCATTTTCTTCATTGCGCGAAAACCCTTTGAAAAAGGGATAATAGGTCGACGATTACCCACCGCTAAGTATGGAAGCTTCACGAGGATCTCAAATTGGAGCTTTATAGTTAGGCAGTGAAAAACTTCAAAAAAAGTCAAACGTTATATTTCAAAATCCAGGAATTCTTATTTTTGATATTTATTGAAAATATAAAGCAATTTAGGTATCGTACAGGGTGTTTTTTAACAATAATTACTAATTTTGCATAAATTAATGAAGATACTTTTTAAAAAAGTATTTTTTTTATAACTACTGACGTTGTATAATTTTCGGTACTCACGATATATCTGCATCCACACTTTCGTAAAGTAATAGAAACAGAAACAATGGAATTGCACTAGATAAATTCTGTGTGAAAGACATCACCTGGAACGAGAAAATATAAAAAAGTTTTAGTTTCCCAATGACAGCCATAGAGGATTTTTCTCTACAAATTTTTCTATTATAAGAGAAAATGAAATGAATTTGTGAATATATAATGAAGTTTAAGCTGATGTTAATATTCTTTTATACTAAATCAATAATTTAAAAAAGCTACTCATAAAATTTGCAAACCCAAAATTACCTACCAAAAAATAAAAAAGTCCGCCAATTTGCAAATATAAAAATTTATTTACTTTTAATTGTTCAGTTTATTAACTTACTATAATATATACATTAATAATATATTTTAACGTGGTAGATAGATACCAAATTTGAATTCATAATTATTTTCACTTTAGCTAGCTGTTTGCAGATTGTCAACTTTTTTCAAAAATAAAATTTTACTTTTATTATTATTTAGGGCCCTGAAATGGTTTTAAATAAAATCGAAACGTTGGCTTAGCGGAAATTGCAACAAAAGAACCAATCGAAGAAAAGAATAAATCGTATATACATACCTTCTAAAGAAAAAATCGGTTATCTATTATATTTTTTAAAGCACTCTAGAACTTTCAAGACTTTCAGGTATTTCCTTTGTTTTCTATTTAGTAATTAAAGAATACAACGTAAGGTGGACAGTGCCGAGAGGAAAAATCGCAAACTGAATATTGAAGTAGTTTCGGAGACTACTTATGCATTTTTCATCACCAGGACCGGCCCTTATCGAATTAAAGGCCTCATACGGTCCACCAGTTGTTTATTATTCAAGATTTATCACTATAACCGGCACGTCCGATATTTTGTTATAATACTGATGTGAATTCTTCACAGAAAATAATTTTCGTTTTCAAATTTTTTAATATTGTACGAATTGATGTATGTACTTCGTAGGTGACCCATACTCAGAGCATATCTATAGATAAACATCCAAATAGCTAAACCGTTTCTCGGTCGTCTTATCTATGGCTTACTGATGACGACTAATAAGGTCGAAATCGATGGTGATACTGATGACAAAGACAAATTCTTAAATCTAAGCTCTTTAATAGATATTTCGGATGTACCTAATTCAATGTTGGAAGGGGCCAGTAGCCCACAGAATAGTGGTTTCCCAGAATATCATTAGTTAAAAAAAATACCTTACGTTTTCAAATTTAAAAAAATTGGAAATAATATAAATGCATTAAGACTGATATTGATCTGTATCTATATTCCTCTTTATGAAAAAATTGGTAATTTGTTTGTGAAATATATTTCTTAAGCATTGAAGGTATGTCATTCTGCCAACAGCGCCATCTTTGACTACATTTGTAAACTAAAGCACGAAAGACATTTGTACTATTTTGAACCATATTCCGTCAATGTATACACCCCATGGTAAATGGCTGACAAAGGCACGCTGTAGTATACCTAAAGCTATACTCCTATGACATAAATTATTGGACATTCTATAGATGATATTCAAATTGTGAGTATATAAATTATTATAATTGGTATGGTTTATTCTATATAATATTTTAAATATTACAATTGACATACATTATACCTGTACAACACAGAAATTTTTATGCTCATTTTACTTTAAGAAACGGTCCTGGTTTTCCCTTTCTCTACACCGATTTAAGTCGCCGAAGTTGAAGTATCATCGTACCCCAATTAAAGGCTTCGGTATGCGCACATCCCACTGCCTCCTAGGATAGAGAGTATGCATGGAAAAAATATAATCTCAAACATCAGTCACCTCAAAAATTTGTATACAGGTACATAAATCTTAGAACTGTACATATATTTAAACAAGTTTATTGTGTAGAATATGTATTTAATTTCTTTTTTGCTAAAAAAAAAGATGATTTTCACCAAAAATTTTGAAATATGTTCATAAAAATCTTCATGGCGTTTAACATTCTGTTTAGCAAATGTAATAGAGGAAAAACCATAAATTAAATTAAACCAATAAAATAAGATTAATAATGGACAGGTGTTCCAATTAATAAAAATAAAAAAAATTAGATAAAAAGGGGAATTTAAAAAAATAATTATTTAATTCACTGGAACCTTATAATGCAGAAAATAAATTTTAATCATTAAATCATTGGATATTTAATTCAATATTCACCCTGTTTAACACACGCGGGATGATATTAACACAAGAATAAAATGTTGTTATTTATTCTTGTAATATTAATACATAATTATTTTATTTTTAACTTTCTGCTTCTACAAAATATAGATCTATAAAAAAATATGCAGGTAAGCAGGTACCTATTTACGTTTTCTCTAGGAGATCTAATCTCAAATTTTCAAGAATTTACGTCTGCATAATTAAATTATCCCAAAATACAGCCCAATATAAGGGCACCCAAGGGTGTAAAATTGAGTGCAATGTAACGTACATGAAAAATTACGGGGAAGGGAATTATGCCAACACGTCGATCTTTAATTATTGGCAGATGCTTGAACACGTCCTCCAACGCAAGCAGTTTTCAAGGGCCACAGGTCGGTATCCGTCCTCGTCTCAGTGCAACGACTGAAAAACAATGAGGAGGGGCATTCTACACAACAGAAAATAATTTTAGGGCTTTTTGTTTTTTCTTGTACTTGCAAATACGAAGTGATATTTCCGTAAGTGAAATTCAATATAAAATGTACGGGGTGTTGCCAAGTTATGTAGAAAATTCTTCGAATTTTGTAAAAAACATGACCTTGAAGAAGTTGTATCAACTTTCAGCTACTAACACTTGGAACAAAATAATTAGACAGAATTATAGGCAACTGTTAGACAAAGGCTCCTATATTAGCTAATATCGATTTTTTAGACGGCATTTTTTATAATACGATCATTTTTAGAAAGTTTAAACTTTATTTTCTAAAATTTTTCAAATGGAACACCCTGTATTTTATTGTTCTATTTTATTCACATATCGGTCCACTTCAAATTTTATTAAGCATGTCCTATAGCTAAAATTGTTAGTTTTAAGATATAGCAACATTTCTGAAAAAACTTAATTTTTATTATTTTATAGAATAGGTACCACAAATAAATATTAAATAATAAAATTAACTCAAAATGGAATGATAAATTATGAACTGACAAGTTGACACAAAACCATTTCGTGCGATCGAAAATAATAAATATTAGGTTTTTCCAGAATTGTTGCTATATCCTAAAAACTATCAACTTTAGGTGTATAATATATTTAATAAAAGTTGAAGTAGACTGGTATGTGAATAAAATAAAACGACAATAAAATACAGGGTGTTGCATTTAGAAAATCAAATTTGAACTTTCTAAAAATGATCGAATTGTAAAAAAGGCTCTGTATAAAATATCGATATTAGCTAATATAGGAGTCTTTGCCTAACATTTGTCTATAACTCTGTCAAATATTTTTGCTCCAAGTGTTAGTANGAATGATAAATTATGAACTGACAAGTTGACACAAAGCCATTTCGTGCGATCGAAAATAATAAATATTAGTTTTTTCCAGAAATGTTGCTACCTATATCCTAAAAACTATCAACTTTAGGTGTATAACATACTTAATAAAAGTTGAAGTAGACTGGTATGTGAATAAAATAGAACGACAATAAAATACAGAGTGTTGCATTTTACTAATTTTAGAAAATCAAGTTTGAACTTTCTAAAAATGATAGAATTGTAAAAAAGGCTCTGTATAAAATATCGATATTAGCTAATATAGGAGTCTTTGCCTAACATTTGTCTATAACTCTTGTCAAATATTTTTGCTCTAAGTGTTGAAAGTTAATAATACAACTTCTTCGAGGTCATGTTTTTCCAAAATTCGAAGAATTTTCTACATAACTTGGCAACCCCGCACTAAAATGTTAAACTGTTTATATTACCATATATAGAATTTTCTCAGAAATCCATATGTTTAAAAATATACAGGGTGTTTCATTTAAAAAATGTAATATTTGGCGCGTCTCGTTTTTACTAATCGCCCTGTATGTTTGAAATTACTTTTGCCCTGTAGGTTTTTTGATTCTGTACAACTTTTATATAAACTTTTTTTCTATATTATGAATAACAAGGAAATTATTTTACTATTATTGTTTTTATTTTAATATTTTTTAAGGTGTTTATTTATTTCTCAAACATATGTTTAATTTGGATTCATATAATATAATAAATTCACATTTATGATTTTATATTTATAATTGAACGTTTTATAGGCTTCTTGGGGCCATTATCTTTTAACATCAAGAATTTTTTAAATACTAGTTCATGGTGAATGGTAGATACCTTCATAAATGCCCGCGTACCATTTGATTAGATTTGTTTTGGCGCTCAGTAAATTAGATTTTCTGAAATTGATGTTTCAGAAATTACCAAGGAAAAGTCACCAACCCTATATAGATTAAATGTCAAAATTCAGAGACTTTCGTAATTTTGGGTATTTTTATGTCTATTATTTGCATATTTAGCAGTGTTTACCACTATTTTTGTGCTTTTTTACAAATTAATCTTTGTCTGTTGAGTTGAAAAAAAAATTGTTCTTTTCAGAACTCCAAAAATTCGTAACACTTTTAGCGTAAGTCAAACGAACATTTAAAAATAAAGATGTTTTAGTCTGAAACAAGTTTTTATTTATTTTCAGATGTAGAGCTGCACTGAATTTATTTATGTATTTTGTAACTTTTTGGCAAAAAATGAAAAAAAAAAATTGAAAATGACATGTTTTAGGAACATCATTTGAAAATAATTATAAAAAAACAATGGAAAAAGAATAAAGTGTGTATTTTTACTTTGTTTTATGGGATACAGAGTGACTTATTAAAACAAAACATATTCTTGATGAGTATATAATATATTCGGCACGAGTTATGTTACAAAAATAGCACACATAGATTTGACTAGTAGAAAATACACAACGCGATTTAATTACAAACAAGCGTTAACACGAGGAGCAGGTATAACCCAAAAAACAACAGAAAAAGGCGGCATGGTTACAAATGATCTGGCATCTACCGTCTTTGGCACGAGTTCTGGTAAGTTGTTGTCCTTGGACATTTTTAAAAGCTTTCCATTAAGCCTAACACCTCTAAAACATAAGAATATTTTTTAAATTGGGATCAAATTAAGTGTTAAATTAGATTTTGAATAATGAGTATCAAAAATAGTAAATGTTAACCCAAATTCTAAACTATGTGCATTTAATCGTAAACAAAACTTAGAATTATTTTTGTTTAATTTTTTAAGCAATTGAATGACGCTTAAATTAATCAAAAATACTAGGCTTACTTTGAACACATTAACGTATCAGAAGTCAGTTCGAAAGCGTAAACTGTTGATAATGACTTTGCCTCCATGTTCAATGGAAGCAGTCCTTCGATCCTGACATGTGCAGTAGCTTTATCCATATTTACTCCAAAAACTTAAAAAATACCCAATGACATAGTTGTAAAATAACACATTATTAATGGTACTCCTAAAAATTAAAGCGATAATATATTGATAATGAAGCGTGGAAGCCATGCTGTTTTTAGAGAACGATTTTTATGCTTTCATGACAAAAAAATTTCAATGAAATATGCAGCACTACTACCATTTATGCCCGGAAAAGCAAAACCTGTTTTTTTTTTGGATTCATAAAAAAATTCTATTTTCTCCACGACAGTTTCTATATGGGCCTACAAAACATCTAAAAAACATGCTTCATTATAAAAATTTATCCACTTTAATTTTCGTCACTGCAGATTATAGTCACCTGTAACCGACGGTTGAAGAGACGGAAAAGCAGATTTCTTTGTACAGTGGCAGTACAATCTAACCTTTGGAGAACAAGACGTATAATTAGGAACAACTCGCATGCCTATAAGTTTTTTATAGATTATACTTATCCACCAGTCCTAAAAGTTTAGGAAAAAAACTGTTTAAAGTCTATAAGTGTGAAAAAGAGGAAGATATTTTCAATACTACTGCAATTCAAATTATCTGTATTTTATTAATGCACTTTTTAAAAGAAGTGAGCCTTACGGGATTCGGATTGTAGTCATCGTCCAGAAGCGCGTAATACCCCTTAAAAATAGACTGTCTGACAACAACATTAATTCCCATTTTGGCAGAGAGTCCCAATTTGTCGACCCACATGAACGTGCCGATAAACGTGTTTGACAAATTTGGAGCTCCTCCTCCATACGCTGATGATGTTTCTCCTAAAAAAATGTACTTCCGAAAGTTGTATAAGGCTTTCATTTTATCCCTACGTGTGTGTGTAACCTGTACACTAATCTAATGCAAGAAAAGCGGTGAGGAAATTAGTTGTGCGAGTTAAAAACAAGACTGTGCTTGTGTAAGAATAACCTGGATAAAAGAATTAACCGAAACGATATTAATGTTAGTTTTGTTCTTTGCAAAAATAAAAAAGGCTGAAGTGTTTATGTCCACACCCATTAATGGCACATACCTATGTTTTATTTTCTGAGAAATTTACGTCTACCCTGTTTATATCATTGATTATAAATGATCAACATTGTGCAGACGAACTTTCCTAATATTTATTTAAATAGATGAGATAAGTAAATTTTTGATTATTTAGTTGTACCAAAGCATTGTTAAGTAATACCTAAAAAAAGAACGTAGTTTTGTCACTTTTTCATAAAAAACTTAAATCTTTAGTAGCCAATTTTCAATATAATACATAAAGGGCAATTACAAATAATAGGAATTATTATAGCTAATATAACGGCTAATGTATAACCAATACAATAATGCTTTCCTAAAGTAGTACATTTATAATACATTTATATGTTCTTTTTAAGCGTATTCATTTTTAGTCATATTTGTTTGGTTAAAATAGATTATTGAGTTTTTATTTTTTATAAAAAAATATTCTTACCAAGCCAAATAGGTTTATTTTGTATATCCAAATCCTTTGTAATGTTCTTAACAGTATCTATTTGTTTTTTTAGATAATCAAACACTATAGGGTTTAAAAAGTCTTCAGCCTTAGCCGTACGTCCGTTGATATAATATCTAAAATAATGTAAAATGTATATTCTTAACATATATTATGTAAACACATCATTATAAAAAATTAAAGCATACTTACTGATGCCAAGTTATGGCATCGATTACATTTGCTGCATTTTGCAGAAAATCTTGCAAATAAATTTTACTTTCTTGATGTTTTACTCTGGGTCTCGTGGTGTCTGGTCCAACGAGCAAAGAATTCTTATATGTTTCATATTTTCTCAGGATATGTCTTAAAACAGCAAAATCTTTGGCCATCTGTGTTGCATTTACCTCCTGGTTAAATTTGTGACGGAAAGAGTTTGGTTCTAAAACTCATTATAATTATAAAGTTACAGTATAAATAAGAATGTATACCATTTCCTAGTTCCCAGTTTAATTTTAGACTATGTTTATTTGAAAATTTGATTAGCGACTCTGCATTTGTGTAGTCCCAAGAGCCGTTATCAAATCTCCTTAATGAATTAAGATCAAACAACACTTCCATATTGGTTTGTTGAGCGAATTTCGTTAGTTCCAACCATTGCGTACCTTTATAAATTAATAAAGATTCTATGTTTATCAGACATATTAGTGTATCACTCACCAGTCATTACGTAATTTGGAAGAGAACGAAGGTCTAAAAAATTATAAATATGGGATATTCCTCTGTAAAATCTCTTTACATGTTTATCAACCTCTTTTAAATTTGGGTTGAAAACTAACTTGTCTGCTAAATTACCACCTATTCTCAAATAAGCTGGTTGAAGATATTTTACCATTTTTTGTAATTTAACGTCTCTAAAATTTTTATTAAAACAGCATGTAAATATATGTATATAGTAAAAAAACTTACGTTGTATTAAAGTTGTAAAAATCTTCTGCAATAACAGAAGTATCTAAGCCAATACTAAGAAATTTTGAATTTGTTTTACTCAAGTATGGTTTGTTTCGTTCAATGTATATAATCTGAACATTTCCTGTCGATTTTAGAACGAATGTGGCTATTAATAATAAAATAACAATGAATATTGCTACTGCTCCTAATACAGAACATATTTCAAAACATTTTCGTACTAAAATGAAAAGAAAAATTATTAGTGATTCGTTATAGTAAAAATAAACACCTACCAAAAACCTTGACATAGTTATATTTTGATGTATTTCGGATTTGTAGCATTTTTCTATAGATAAAAAAAATAGAGCACCCTTTATGCTGATTCCTCTGTAATGTTTCTAATATTTAATTTTGAATTTGTTGACATTAACATAACCTCCACAAAAATCAAAACTAAAAACACACCTAGGCTGGGTTCGATTTTCAAAAACTTAATTTGTTTTTCGTGTTAGAGTACGTCACAAGAGCACGTTTACGGAGACCGTGTAGGCTAGTGGCAGAAAGATAAAGATAAGGTTTGGGTAATAGTTTATTCTTATATTAGAACAACAGCCTACATTGGAGGAAAAGTAATTTTAATTTTCTATTAAACTCCCTGTTTACTTATCCTCTATGGACAAATTAATAATATAAATTTAAGTGTCCATTAAATAAATTTGAATTTTGATAAATGGGGTAATTATTTTTTAAAATAAGTCGACTTTTTCAGATAACTCTAGTATAATTTAAGCAATTTAAGTAAACGTATTATTATCCCCTCGCCGTCCTCATCTTATATTCAGTCGTCGATTTTTTTATTTTTTTGGACCTTACATAGTTGTGATCTGAACGCCACCTAAATTTAGTAAGCGGCTTGTTGCCAACTATACCACTTAAAAAAATCCTTAATACTCTCTGGTTGCACGCTTGGTTGTCGGTTGTCAGTTTGTTGTCAATTTGTCAATTAGCAATTTTTTAATTTTTTGTGCTTTGGTTTTTACGAAATTTTACATTTTGGTTTCCACGCGATAAATAAACTTCTGTAAAGTACATTGACAATGGCGACATCAAAAACTACCAATACATATAATAGACAAAACTGGGAAGATGCAGTAAGTAATCATCATTCTTTAATGTAACTTCGTAATTAACCTCAAATTTTGATCTAGGACTTTCCAGTACTTTGCCAAACATGTTTGGGAGACAATCCATATATAAGAATGGTAAGATTATAACACGAACATAAATTTGTTTTCATATGAATCAAATTTTTCTACAGACAAAAGAAAAATATGGCAAAGAATGTAAAATTTGCTCCCGACCCTTCACAGTATTTAGATGGTGCCCAGGAGCTAGGATGCGTTTTAAGAAAACTGAAGTGTGTCAGACTTGCAGTAAATTAAAAAATGTTTGTCAAACTTGTTTATTAGATTTAGAGTATGGTTTACCTATTCAAGTGCGTGACGCAGCTTTAAAGATGAAAGATGATCTTCCAAAAAGTGATGTAAATAAAGAATATTATATACAAAACATGGAAAGAGAGGTATAAGTTTTTATTTAATATTCTTGATATTTTCCAAACAAATGTTTTTTTTAGTTGGCAAGATCAGATCCAGGTACAGTGAATAGTAAACTGAATGAACCAAATGATCTTTTAATGAGACTAGCACGTACCGCGCCGTACTATAAGAGAAATAGACCCCATGTGTGCTCGTTTTGGGTTAAAGGGGAATGTCGAAGAGGAGAAGAGTGTCCTTATCGTCACGAGAAACCAACTGATCCAGATGATCCTCTAGCAGACCAAAACATTAAAGATCGTTACTATGGAGTTAATGATCCCGTAGCAGATAAGTTGTTGAAAAGAGCTGCGGCAATGCCCGCATTACCACCTCCTGATGACAAAACTATTACTACATTGTATATTGGCAATTTGGGAAACCTTACTGAACAGGATATAAGGTATGTAATCTTCAGATATCGATTTCATCAAAAATGTTTATTAGGTTATTTTGTTATGAAACTAAAAAACAGATGTTTTAAATGCCCTAAATATTAAAATTATGTTCTTATTGACAGGAAAATAAATCTACTATAGTAGTATTAATTTTATTCAAGTGTAGAATTTAAAAATAAAATTAAGGAAAGGAATAAATTTATTAATACTTCAACCCACTATACTGTAAATACGAATTTTATTGTTTCTTTCAGGGATCATTTCTATCAGTACGGAGAAATCCGTTCCATAAGTCTTGTTCCAAAACAACAATGTGCTTTTGTACAGTACACCACGAGAGCTGCTGCTGAGTCTGCAGCTGAAAAAACTTTCAACAAACTCATACTTGGAGGTCGAAGGCTTACAATTAAATGGGGCCGGTCTCAAGGCCGCACCGGGCCTAGTATTAGTCACCACCCAGAAAATTACGAACCAGTTCCAGGCCTACCACCTGCAATTCCAGAACTGAGTAACAACTTCTTTAATTTAGAACCTGGGCATATACCTTTACCCAACATGCCGCCTCCTCCATCACTCATGGTTCCTCCGATGTTTGGACCTCCGCCTATTCCTCCGTTTTTCTTCAATCCACCTCAATTGCCTCCTTTTGCTGCCCCACCTGCAGCTGTTAATACTAGTACGAGTACAGCTACTAGTGAAACAACGAAAACTGCAGTACATTATCCAAGTCAGGACCCGTCTAGGTTGGGTGCTACTCAGCTGCATGCCGATAGACAAGAATAGCATTAAGTTAAAACTTTTTCAATTTCAATATTCCATAATTTTTTTTTACTTATTTTTCAGAGCTGTAATTATCTCTTAAAATTGAATAAAATAATATATGTATAACAAGCTATTCTTAAATAACCCCAGTTTTCCTTCTATTCGCAAAAACAATGATTCATGAGATCTATACTGAATCGAATTATTTAACTTATATAAAATCCAAATTAAGCGGTTCCCTATGAATGTGACTATATTTTAAAATAATAGATGTCGCCCTTGGTTTTTGTGTAAGGGACTCTATTGTGTAATATCTATGCACCACACACAGATCTAACCCACTTTTATGACAGTAGAATTGATATTATTTATTCCTTTTTAATAGTAAAAAGGCCAACCATAGCGGTGGCTTGCTCAAGGACATGGTTCTTTATCTTCAATGTCCCCAAAAATTCTATTTATAAAAAAGTATAAGTTCATACTGATTTGTTTTATACTGTCTTTAATACACCATTGTACACTATATTCTTATGAGTTTAGTACTTTTTGCTCTGGAACCCATATTCATATATCAGTAGAGAGAGAACGAGTACCCAAACTATCGCCCTTTCTCTCTACAACGTCTACCCTTTTTAACACACGGCTTCCTTCATGTATGCTTTATATATGCTCTAAGACTAAGGATCTTTGAGAACTTGGGCAGAACCCGGTTCACTCTGCTCAGTGAAAAGAGCCGATTCAAGTGAACCGGATCAGTCATGTTACGCCAACTAATTCGATTTGGGGGAGAAGTAGAGCACTGTGCACCGGAACGCGTAAAAACTCATGAGGAGTGTTCCAATTGATATACCCGAAAGTAGCTCCAGTCAGTACTAGAGATTTTGTGATCCGGTTTCAGATAATTTTCGAACGCAGCACTTTACATGTTTTTATTTCTGGACATTTTAGTTAACCTAAAAATGGCTTGTTTAATGCGACAAATATTTCTAAAATGTTATCAAATTCCACAATTAAGACAGCAAAACCTATTTAAAGTAAATTTAACTTCAGGTCTCGTTTCAACTTGTCACAAATTGTATTCAAATACTCCGACACCATATGAAATTGTTGATCCGGAGGCTCAAGGCAAATTGACTAAAAGTAAGTTATCCAGCTAATTATCAATCTATCAAAATAAATATAATTATTCTTATTAAAAATAGTATTTATAATAGTTTTTTTGTTGACACTCGTATACATTTTTAGGTACAATAAATAAAGTTAATGCACTAGTAGCCGATCGGAAACAGGGCAGACTGTTTGCTGTAGTTCATCTTGCCGGAAAGCAATTTAAGGTTACAGATGGAGATGTGATAGTTATAGAAGGCTATTGGCCACCAAACGTAGGAGACAAAATATCGTTAGATAAGGTATGTATTTGTTTTTATCGATCGCAAAGGCTTATTTTAAATATATTATTAAAAAATTAAATTGAGACTCAGTAATACAAGTTCTGCAACATATGAAATATAATTTTTTTTTGACATATACTAAAAAAAATATGTTTTTAACAGGCCAAAAATAAGTGAATTTAATTTGTAGGTACTATTAGCTGCAGGGTCAGATTTCACACTTGTAGGTAGGCCAATAGTCCAAAAAGGCCTTGTGAAGGTAGAGGCTACTGTTATTGAAAAGACCTTGTCGCATACGAAAACTCACTTTAGGAAAAAACGGAGGAAACAGTACATGAGAATAAACTGTAAGTTTAATTTTTTAAGTTGTAATATTTATAGAGTATATTTTTTTATCGAACTTTCATTTTTAGTTTACCGAATTCCTCAGACATATTTAAGGATCAACAAAGTCCAAATTGAAGGAGAATTAAATAATCCGCCAGAGGTTAGGGGCTTAGAAACTGCAATTTTTTAAATCGTAGACCGATAAGATTATGAAGTCGGTAAATCGTTTTTCAAACTTTGTAAATTGATTTATCTCGTGATTCTGTTTGTATTAAAATATTTGTCGTTCTTAAATCTTTGTTTCCTGATCTCTGTTGTCCTTTATTATATATTTAATATTTTTCGTATTTATTAAACGATAGACTGGGAACTAAAACGGGGAAGGATGGGGTAAAGAAACATAATATCTTTTCATTTATATTACATTTAATTATTTTAAAGATACAAACTGAACACAGTATATCTGTAATTTCTTATGGTGTGGTAAAAAAACGTGCTAAGTATAAATATAAAAAAATTGATATAAATGTTACAAGTTTATTTAACTAGAATATGTCATATAAGCATTTTCATAGTCAATCATATGCAAAAATACAACAATCGGGATTATTAATATAACCTAAAGCAATAAAAATTTCAAACTGACACGGTAACAATTCCGTCATTAATTTAATCGTCTCGTACTTTAAAAATCTTTAACATACTTGTGCCTAATTTGAAATTTTACAGCATTTTTACCCACTCTATCACAATTACCGTAACTTATTATTCTTTTTTAATGTAATAATGAACTTCAGATATATTAATCAAACATTAACAATGAATTAAAGAATTATTTTAAAACGTCCCTGAACGGAAATGTAGGGCGGGATTCAAAAATATTTCTTCAACGTCATCAATATATTATATAGTAATCTCACAAACGGAAAGTCTTATACAGTTACTTTTTAGACAAAGAAAGTTGGTATCCCTAATGATCACATACAACTGGCTTATTTGAAGATTACACAATCTAATCTTACACTACCATCACTAACAATGATTTAAAACAAATATCACAAAAATTGGTGACATTCTCAAAACCATATTATCGCAGGAAAATTGTAGGGTATACGGGGCGTCCCATATTTCATGGACTAAATTTGATTTCACCGTAGAACTCAAAATATGAAAAAATTTCCATAAAACACGAGTTGTTGGAAATTGTTTAGTTTCCAGGGTATTTCAGTTGAAATTTCTTATAATATTTTTTTACAGACATTTTTTCATTTATATTTTATGTTACACAAAAAGATTTCTAACATTTTTTATTTAAAATCACCAATTTCCAAGTAACGTACAAATGAGCCGTTACTTGCTTTAAAAAAAACCCTATTTGATTATATCGGTGGCATATGGTGATATTTTGAGAGCGAGAAGCAACTTTAAAAAACATACCTACTTACAATGTAATTCTATCGATTCTAATAATTCTAGCGATGCCTAAGACGAACATTCTAGCTTCTAATAATGTATCCTTGTTTAGCCTCAAGAGTATTTAAAATTTCTAGCTTTAAAGTAACTTTCTTGCACTTTGCGCCTATAGTACGCTCACCTTCAGAAAGTAGTTTACAAAAAACAAGCTTATTTATTTACGTTTTTTTTAAAACATGCGAAATAAATCTATTAATATATTTCTTCCGCGACCTCCTAGAACCAATTCCAGGGAGTCACGACTTACAGTTTGGGAACCACTGTTCTAAAATATATGTATGAAATTTCAGAATTTGGAGTAGCTTCGGTAGCAATAAATGTAAATCAAACAGAAAACCTGTGTTTTTAACACACAAATAATGGACTTTCCTCCATTCTAACGCAGATTTTCTATAAAATGGAGTTAGTTTGAAACACAAATAACTTTTCGTTGTAAAGAAATTTGTAATTTAATTCGTAAATTACAAATTTCTTAACACCAAAAAGTTATTTGAGTTTCAAACTAACTCCATTTTATAGAAGATCTGTGTTAAAATGGGGGAAAGTCTGTTATTTATGCATTAAAATCATATTTAGACAAACCGTGTAATAAAATCTATAAAATATACTTAAAAGTTAACTAAACGTGCCACCGTCCTTTTTAATGCAGATTTTCTATAAAATGGACTTAGTTTGAAACTCAAATAATTTTTTGGTATAAAGAAATTTGTAATTTACTAATTGAATTACAAATTTCTTTACACCAAAAAATTATTTAAGTTTCAAACTAACTCCATTTTATAGAAAATCTGTATTAAAATGGGGGAAAGTCTGTTATTTGTGCATTAATTCATATTTAGACAAACTGTGTAATAAAATCTATAAAAATGTATTGTTGGTTTCCTATTTGCTATAGAGCCCTCTTAAGTAACTTTTCTTCTCCGTCTTAATAAATAAAAGGAGCATGGTGGTATATTTTAGTTGAACTTGCTGTTAATAGATGGCACTGTTACAGCTGTGTTGATTTCCATTTTGTCACATTATTTAATTTTTTGTTAATATTTGAAACGGCGGCAAACATCCCATTATTTTTCGATATTCCAACTTTGTTAAATCTTTCCACTTAATTAAGATTATAGATAAATTATCCTATACTGGACGGCCAAAATTATAGATAGTGATTCATCGCTAGCTCTTGGACTAGTAAGGGGGATGAAGCGTGCCGGGAACGAAAATCCATTGGCGTGTCTGCGTAAAAGGCAACAAGATGTAGAAAATATTGAAAAAACACAATAAAACATAACATCTAATATTTTTTACGGTTTGCTATAACCGGCACTTTGATCAATTTTAATTATTACAGCATTTTAAAACGTCCCAGTTGTGTTTTTTTAATTTATAAATTTATTATAGCCATGGAATTAGACCTCTAGTCTACGCTTATGCTATGACGTTTCTCAGGTCGGGCAAATCAAGTCCGCTTGCACCCACTAAAAAAGCATTTCCCTATTCCCTACCAAGTGCAAAAGACAGAGATAAAATATAGATCGACGTTCAGTGTAACTCAGTCCATACATGATTATAGATTCTACCGATGTGCATGGCGAGCGGCACAAAGATAAATAATATTGAACCGTATAGAAATCATTTTATATTTTATACGCATTATGGTAATAGTGTTTTTATATTATGTATTAGTCACTCTTTATAATTTCGGCCGCCGAATATAAATATATTTCAAAAAACAACACCCAGTATCTTGAGAACTAAACAATTCCCAACATTTTTCTTATTTTCAAGAACTCCATCGCCAAATAAAAGTTTGCCTGAACAGTTCGAGGCAAACTGTAACATAAATTTCGCAAGCTAGATCTGCTGTAGAACTTGTTCGACTTTCAATTTTTTCAAACATCGTACCGTTTATATTAATCGTAATAGTGGAGTAACGTGCCGATCGTAATTTAAACATCGAAGCGTGAAATATTCACCTCACAAGTTGCAAGTTACACGTCATTTCCTGAATAATATGGACGAATGAATAATGAGCCATTTTCAAATATAATTTTCTGTCGAGTAACCCAAATATTCTAATTATTTTTTTTACTAACACATAGGTATTCTTATTTGCAACAAACTGACCACAACTATTACAAATAAGTTGAAAAAATAACATTAAAGGAATTAAGCTACATTAATATCATAGATTTTTTACCTATAAAGTTCGACCAATGACAGCGCACATTGCGACGTATTACACACAAAAAAATTTGGCACTTTTCAAGACGTTCTCAAAGATTTTTATCGCTGGAAGAACAACACAACTAGGTAATTCGAAAGAAAGACAGATTTCAGTATCAAAATTAGAGAGACAACGAGTACATCAAAATATATTCTTTTTCGGAAAACAATCGCCGTTAATGTTATTTTTTTCAGTGTCTGAAAAAAGGATTCCGCGCGTCCTATAACGTACCTATTTTGATTAATAACAAAGAAAAAAAAATACTTACAAAAATCTTGACTCTAGTTTACTTAGCTTTAAAAATGGTCAAGTTTACATTTAGGGAAGCCGTCCACGGAAACATACTGTACATTTTCATCTAAAGTTATTGTACTCGAGTTGTGTGCCAAACCGGTCCACGGTCTATCACCCTCTCCGTGCTAGTTTTCCGACTGCGCCTTTTTAGCTTCCCTGCAAAGTGTTTGGCAGACACTTATCCAAGTCTGTTCGTAATTACTACAGCACAGGTCACTTGTCGATGCAGAAGATGAGGAACTGCGCGACACCGTATCGCATACCAGCTTAGCCAGTCAATCAACCAGGATGACTGAAGAGACATTGTGTAATGTTTCTTTTAGCACTCTGAACGATGGCCGGTTCTCCGGCAGGTGACTCCAGCACTTTCTCATAACCTGCAACGGAAATTTGTAAAACTTAAAAAGTTATCCCATTTCCGCCTGAAACAGAAAGCAAATAGGCAACCAGCAATACATTTTTATAGATTTTATGACACAGTTGGTTTAAATATGAATTAATGCACAAATAACAGACTTTCCCCCATTCTAACGCAGATTTTCTATAAAATGGAGTTAGTTTGAAACTAAAATTACTTTCCGTTGTCTAGAAATTTGTAATTTGCACCGTAAATTACAAATTTCTTTGCACCAAAAAGTAATTTGAGTTTCAAACCAACTCCATTTTATAGAAAATCTGCTTTAAAATGGGGGAAAGTCTGTTACTTGTGCAGTAATTCATATTTACACAAACCGTGTAATAAAATCTATAAAAATGTATTGCTGGTTGCCTATTTGCTATAGAGTCCTTTTAAGTTTTTAAGACTGATTTTATCGTAGTGAAGTGCGTGGTGCTCTCTGGGTTGTCAACAGAATTACGTAGTGGGAAGCCTTCCGAGCGGCCGAACAAAATTTCATCAGTAAACTACCACGAAGTTATAACGTTTTGCATGAAACGAGTTTTTGATAGTTATCAAAGGCACATTGAACAGAGTATAGCAATCAAGTTAAAATAGTCACATAAACATATTAACTATTACAAATGGCGTCTAGTGAGAAGTGTTCTTGTCGTTCGGGAGGTTTCGTGATGGCAGACAAGCGTGCACGATGACGAAAGCACCGGGCGTTGACATAAAAGCCGAACAAATGAAAACAACGAAGCTATAGGCTCTGAACTGAAGTCTGATCACTGACCAACCAACGCAATGTTGGAAGGGCGTATATGATTGATCAGACACCAGATATCAGCGCATAGTGCACACCTTCGAAGTTTTCGCTCTCCGGATTGTGCGAAGACGTCATGTCCTCTCGTCGTCGTGCACATAGTCTCGACAATCACGAAACCTCCCGAACCACAAGGACCCAGTCGGACGTGATACACACTCTTCACCGTACGCCGCTTGTAACTTAATTGCTTTACGCTGTTCAAAATGCGTTTTATTGTTATGTGTTTCCCAGAACTAATCTGAAATTAATATTTTTTATCCAATAAATAATCAAATTAAAATTTGATTTTTAAAAAACTACACAAACTCTTATCTACCCGCAATGGTATGAAATAAAGGTAAAAAGTTGTAACGATGTGAAACGAAAACCAAAAAAATATACAATTGAACACTTACATCATATACTTCCTTATAACAAGCTTTTGGTTTCTCTAATATCATTCCCTTTTGCACACGTTCCACCACCTCGGTATTTTTTAATCTTCCATAAGGCATTTTCCCACACGTAAACACTTCCCACATTAAAACACCTGAAAGATTAACGAAACGTCGAATTAATCTTTTTTTTTATTATCTGTAAAAGTATTACCGTAAGCCCAAACGTCGGATTTAGAAGAGAATCTTGTGTAGTTGAGAACTTCGGGTGGTGCCCATTTGATGGGAAATTTCGAACCACCGGATGACGTGTACTGATCGTCCAATACGTATCTGGCTAATCCGAAATCCGCGACTTTTACTACGTTTTCCGTACCGACCAAACAATTTCTGGCAGCCAAATCTCGGTGGATGTAGTTGTGTCTTTCCAAATATGCCATACCTTTGCAAACCTATAGAAGATAGAATACATTAAAATAAACAAAAAAACAGCAATACGCAATTCAGCTGGTATCTGGATTCGACCGTGTTGGGGTGTTTTTTGTGTACCACTATTTCCTTTTCTTGAAGTGTTTTCCAACGAGTGCACGAAAATTGGATTCGAAGGTGTCGTGCGTGCATTGAAAATGGTGGTGGACATTTTGAGTATATGTTGTAAATTGTTTTGTACTTGTACGTTTGAAAATTACTGAATTTTGCATTTTGGTAAGTACCTAAATTATTTTTAATATATATGATTATTTGGCCAACGTGAATCTTTTGGTACTTTAAACATATTTTTCAAATACGTAATTTGATTAAAAGTTAAGTTCCTGTTTTAAGAGATTCATAATTACTAAAATTCGGGCTAAAAGTGCTGATGTAATGGCAGTCAAACTTCTTACACCCTGTATGTGCAAAATATTTATATCATAATCAACTGATAGATACAAATGTGATTTTTTTTTAATTTTCACAACCAAAATTTTCTATACAGTTATTTAAATGTAAAATTGATACATTTCAATCTTTTCAAAATTACAGGGTCAGCAACCGCTAATTTAATTATTTATTGCTTCATGAAAGTTTTCTATCTACTTTTTATATCATATTTTTACTTACTTGTATGCACATGTCCAGCAGAAGCCCCTGATTACTACTTAGAGACTGCTCATGTCTTCTCAGATGATTCAAAAGGGACCCGTACCTCATATATTCAGTCACAATAAAAATGGGTCTGTTTTTACTACACACCCCGTAGAGCTGAACCAAGTTGGTANCCACCGGATGACGTGTACTGATCGTCCAATACGTATCTGGCTAATCCGAAATCCGCGACTTTTACTACGTTTTCCGTACCGACCAAACAATTTCTGGCAGCCAAATCTCGGTGGATGTAGTTGTGTCTCTCCAAGTATGCCATACCTTTGCAAACCTATAAAAAAAGTAAATGGCTCATCCCTTTGGAAATTTTAAACAGTTCTGTAAGTAAAATTTTATGTTATATGAAATGATATAGTGCGCCAGTTGCGAATTCCAAACAAAATTTACAAAAAAAAAAAAGAAATAGAAGTTGTTGAGGGGGTATACAGGGTGTTAGAAGTTTGACTGCCTTAATTTTAGCAGAAGATAGAATACATTAAAATAAACAAAAAAAAAACAGCAAAACGCAATTCAGCTGATATCTGGATTCGACCATGTTGGAGTGTTTTTTGTGTACCACTATTTCCTTTTCTTGAAATGTTTTCCGGTGAGTGCACGAAAATTCAAAGGTGTCGTGTGTGCATCAAAAATGGTGGTGGACATTGTGAGCATGTGTTGTAGATTGTTTTGTACTTGTACGCTAAATTTTGCTTTTTGGTAAGTACCTAAATTATTTTTAATACGTATGATTATTAGGACGACGTGAATCTTTGTTTACTTTAATTACATATTTTTCAAATACATAATTTGATTAAAAGGTAAATTACTGTTTTAAGAGATTCACAATTTCTAAAATTCGGGCTAAAAGTGCTAAAGTAATGGCAGTCAAACTTCTTACACCCTGTATGTGCAAAATATTTATATCATAATCAACTGATACAAATGTGCATTTTTGTTTAATTTTCACAACCTAAATTTTCTTTGCAGTTATTTAAATGTAAAATTGATACATTTGGAATATTCAATCATCATAGTGCTGTTTGTTTTATGGGTACCCATGTCTGTAAGTAACTCATTTTTAAGTATTACGTTAAGAGCGCCAGCCTGACCCCACCCGGATCGGTCTAACAGTTGCAAAAAACAGACGTGGGACACAACAGGGTTTCAAAAAGGTCCACGGCAGATTGGCGCCAAGAACCAGATGCTTACTCCACATCACGAAGACTCTCCAGCCAACGCTCGCTCCGACAACTCTAACCTTCTTTTCAATAAAAATACTTTTATTAACCATTGAGTTTTATTTTGCTATACACCGAAAGCAACCCTCAGTATATTTCAGTTAATTGTGAAGAAAATATTTTTCATCAATGTGCAATCTTTTCAAGATTTCAGGGTCAACAACCGCTAATTTCAATATTTATTTCTTCATGAAAATTTTCTATGTGGGCCTAAAAATCACTCTCTAAAACATGGCATGGGTCCACCGTTAGAGCGACAATAGTGATCAAATTTTTATTTCATTCTACAGAAAAATTGTTTTTGATAAAAACACTGCTTGTTAAATTTGCATGCAGGGTGTTCAGGAAATGAAAAAAAGCCCTTGATTAACATGAAAATATGCTCTTCAAGAAGGTTGTTTAGAATCAAAAGTTATGTCAGAATTTCAATTTGTGGATAAGTATACTTTTTTTTTAAGGAAAATAGACGACAAAAATTGAAAAGGTTTAATAAAATTAACTAAAGTCCTTAGAATTAACTAAAAATCACCAAAAATTTTTTTTTTATAGAAAATAATACAACTAATTTTCTATCACTCTGATTGCATGAACAGACTTCTCTAAACACATAAAACATTTTCATCGGTAGAAATTAATTGTCGGGCATCACGAAGACAACAAAAATGAAATACAAATACTGTATTAATATAAGATACCTATGTCAATAAAGAGTAAAATTTCTAGCCTTCAAAACGTGAAAGTGGAGGAATGGTGACATCTTTCAATTAGGAACATGCAATACAATTTGGTAGTACTGCCATGCTTTATTATGTTTCTAAGTTGGCAGTGCCAATAGTGGCCACTGGTAGTGGCTCTCGCTGAAGTGTAAATCTACGGTATACTGGAATTAATTGCAATGAAACATCAACGCAGGTATCTCACTCTAGTGTAGAATTGTAAACTGGAATCGTTTGTTTTTTAGAATCATAAATCTGTAGTGTCTTTAGCTCAAACTGCCGCAAATTACGTCATCTAAGGCAGTAATTGAAAGTGAAATATTTGTAACTCCTCTTTTACACGAAACGTTCAAAAATCAAAAAATTAAAAACATGGTTAAATATTTTATGCATTTCTTTTGAAGAGATTGTATCTAAAAAATGAGAAGCGACTATTACCGATTTTTATTATTCGAAAATAATGTTTTTCTTAAAAATCTTTATATATATCCCAAAAAAGAAATGCGATACTTTTTATATCATATTTTTACTTACTTGTATGCACATGTCCAGCAGAAGCCCCTGATTACTACTTAGAGACTGCTCGTGTCTTCTCAGATGATTCAAAAGCGACCCGTACCTCATATATTCAGTCACAATAAAAATGGGTCTGTTTTTACTACACACTCCGTAGAGCTGAACCAAGTTGGTATGTTGCAGTTTTCTACAATGAAAAAAATACTTATGTTACAAACTGAAAACAAAAGAGAAGACATTTCCACCAAAAGCATTCGCTAAAAGAAAACTAGAAATTAGACTTTATCGCAGTGTACTTACGTCATGACTTTGGCCTCTTCGATGAAATCATCTTCAGACATGGTGCCTTCTTTCATCATTTTGACGGCTACGTCAATTGATCCCCGCCACTTCCCTCGCCTTACCACGCCGAATTGTCCAGATCCTAATTCTTCTAACAGCATCAATTCGGTGTGGTCGATTTCCCACTTATCTAAAAATTTGAAATTTTAGAAGAAATGCAGTTTATTTTGAAAGAACATCTTTGGTAAGACTTTTCGTTAAATGTTAAAATTTAAAATAAAATAGAATTTTAAGCCTACATTCCAATGATAATACATTTATTACACGACGGACATAAGAAATCGATTCTAAAAATTAACTTGCACTTTAATAAGAGAGAACCATACTGTAAAAATTTGTGGTTTAGGCCTTCCTTTTCACAATGTAGGCCAGCCAATAGACATTTTTTGGCACACTTAAATATTACAGCAAATTTCATGTATTACCTTTTGAAAAATACTTAGTAAATGAAAACCCAAGCGATTTCCCCAGCAAAATCGTGAACAATTTTCTTTTATAAGAATAAAAACTACAAAAAAATGACATTCTTTTGTTTTTCTTTTTATAATATCTCAAAAAATAACGATGAAACCGTCTTACTCTGAACGGCACTTTTGTAGAGAATACGTGCGACCCGATCGTTTCATTTTTTACGGAGAAATTCGGAAAAACCTCTAAAATAGACCTTTTTTCAAAAACTCCGTCAAATTTGAAGCTGGAAAATGCGGAAAATGACGGATAATAATATGTAGTTTAATCGTGCGCAAGATGTTTTCTGTCCGATGTATAGTTTTTGCACAATTGCATAAACAAATTAGGGTCTTCTTTTGCACAGCGTGGCGATTTATCAAAAATGGTCCGATTTAAATTCTGATAACGGCATCTGAAAGTAGACGACAAAATCTCCAATTTGTATATCTCAGATTTTCACCTGAGTGATGGGAAATATGGTAAAATTCCGTTGAACGTCGCCCAAAACAATCGAAGTACGAGCGTACTTTTGATCATTTTGGGCGACAGAAACCATCTTGCGCACGATTAAACTACATATTATTATCTATCATTTTCCGCAAGATTATTTTTCCAGCTTCAAATTTGACGGAGTTATGAATTTTTTAAAAAAGGTCTATTTTAGAGGGTTTTTCCGAATTCCTCTGTAAAAAATGAACCGATCTGGTCGCACAAAAAACCATTTTATAGGTTTTTTTATTCTCTACAAAAGTCCTATGAGTAAGACGATGCCATCATTATTTTTCGAGATATTACAACAAAAACCAAATGTAATTTTTTGCAGTTTTTATTGTTCAAAAAAATATTGTTCACTTGGGTTTTAATTTACTAAGTATTTTTCAAAAGGTAATACATGAAATTTGCTGTAATATTGAAGTCTCTTCTTTCTCTCTATTGGTTAGCCTAATTTTTTTTCAGATATAGCCATAAAACTTGAACCAATTTTTTTTATGTTTTCAGGATTGGCACTCGATAATACCTTTGCGATAGAGTACAATAGAGTATAAATTTTCAACACTGTATTCTGTCACTTACCGTGGCTTAATCCGGCCGTTGCAGGGGCGGGCCTATCGCAGGGACTAGTTTTTAGACGAGAAGCCAGACCGCCGCTGTTGTGCTTGTGATAATTTATTAAATCGGGGATAGAGTTGCAGCAATGCTTCTCGGACAGGAAGAATTCCCCTCTCGAATTTTGTTTTATGTGATAGTGCTTCACGTGCGGATGAGGTCTGAAAGATTGTTTATTACACCACAACATCTCAAAGAATAAGGATGAAATGGGCGAGATGCGTACAATTGACGAGCGTAACAGGAGAAAATGCCATGACGTCAAGAAAAAGAACATTTAGCAATGGTACATTTAAATACGTAATAAAATTTTGCATTAAAAATTCTTAATTGCTCGTCAGCAGCAATTTAAACAATCAGAAACACCGTATCGATAAACCGGCTAATCGATTTGGTGTCAATAAAAAACATTAAAAGCTAATTTATTACACATTGTTTTCCAGTAAAATAGTCAATGATGTAATTGTAATTTTATAACTGAATACACTATAACTGGAACAATGCTTTACTTAACTTGAAATTTCCTGTTAAACAAGCAAAGTGTCTACCATGTGCTAGGTAAATAAAGTTAATAGTTCCATAATATAACTCGTTTGTAATATGTCACTAATAGCTCAAGTTCAATGTTTCACTAATTTGTTTACATTTAAATTTCCAATTAATGTATGCTAATATTTGATGGAAAGTAGTATATTACCATATTGTCGCTTAAAAGCAGTTTGAAACCACTTACATTTTTGTGTAAAGCGATAGGGTATATAATCCCTTAGTAGAAGAATTTCTTACTACAAAGCAGCCTTCTTTATCTTCTTGTTTAAGTAAAGACTCAGATCTTTGTCGTGACATATCGTTCACATACCACCTGCAAAATAAAGACGCTGGTACAACTCACCACATTTCCACCACAAAAAATTTACTTACTCGTACTGCTGCAGACCTAGCAACTCCTTCTCTTTGACGTAGTTACTGGGTATAAATCCGATATTGCTAAAAGTATCAATAAATGAAAAAAATTTAAAAAAATAACTATTTATCTCGTTTTCAGCACCCGATTTACAAGAATACAGAATTGTAACAATTTTTTGATGTATTTTTTTGGATAAAAATATAGTAAATGTAGAACAGTTTTTTACCCTTTTGAGTCTTTTACTTTCCACCAGTGCTCTTGGGAATCGTCGATGACCTCATATTCCTGGTTTTTCTCTAATGATAAATCACTGCTTTCCGTAGCCTCATATTTGTACAAAGCCACTACAACTTTGGGCCTCATCACAGCCTTTTCTTTTTGTTTTGAGGATGGGGTACCAGGTGTCCCCCCGCCAGGCATCGTAGGGCTTGGCTGAGTACCTAGGGGAGAACAGAGAAAGAAATGGGTCGTAACGATTTAATCATTCACATCTAATGTTGCTCTCTTGGATATGGGTTATATTCAAGAAAATAAAATACCGATTAAAGGAGCTGCCATTTTTTTTATTTGCTTTTGTCTTCTAATTTTAGAAATTAAGTGATGCAATGGAAAAAATCTATAACATACTTTACAGTAATTCTATAATCTACATTTTATAACCATAAATATTTAACCATATCAGTACTTGAATTCATGATTGAAATATTAATGGCTTTAAAAAAATTGGCAGTGCAAATATTTTTTAATCTAGGAGCTACGAAAATATCAAGTTAGAAGTTGAGATAAGTAAGAATGATATAAATCTGTAACAGATACTTATTGACTATCTGCTTTTATTTTATCTTGTTCTAAACCTGGAAGCACTCGACATGAGACGATACAATACAATTGTCATAACATTTCAGTAAAATGTAACGATTATGTTACATTGTTTTCAATAGAAATCTAGATCTTACTTATTTACTATACTTTCTAAAAATTATACTTAAGAGGATGAATGTTACACAGAAAAAATTCTAGATTTCTTCTGATGAAAAAAGTGATAAAGAGGTCATTAAAAGAACAGTAAAAAAATTCCACTTTAACGAAATTACAAAATAATTAATAATTCATCAGTTAACTACATTGTCACAACAATTACGAAACTAAAAATTTACATATGTGCATTTTAAAAGTGAATACTACAAATATGTGGTACCCAACAAAATTGAAGAAACAAAACCACTTTATTCCCAAAAATATGTATTGTTTTAACACATTTGTTGTAAATAATTACTCTAAGTATATGTTATAACCCAGTTACACATACATTTTAATTTAATAATATACGTTGTTATAATTAATTCTTGTTTTATGCAAAATATTATGTTTTCATATGGAAACGAAAAAAAATATATTGTATTTATATTTTGCTCTTTTACAATCCTTGAATATTTATTAATAGCCAATAATTTATATTTAAAAAGTAACGTACGAAGACGGGGTCAGTGAATGTTTAGGAAAGTTACTGATGATATTCAGTTATAGTCACTTCTATGAAATTCAACAATTTTTATAAAACGTACAATGCAGCTATAGAGCGTAAATAAAAAGTTCTTATTTTCGATTTTACTGAAAATTTCACTTCTACATAGATAGGTACACCAAAATTTAGTTCAAATACTGATAAAATCTACTAAAAAATCCATTTCATGCACACAAAAATTACACAATTTTCTAAAAAATATACTGATTTTAACTGAAGTAATCTCATGGCGAAATTTAAAACTAATCATGGCCTCTAATGCTTCCAAAACGTATACTTTTTCGACGTGCCATATTTCGAACTTACAGCCGCAGACCGTACAAAAACATACAACTACGATTCTACAAGGGACACAAATGGAGAAAAAACATACCAGTGGCGCTCCGGAAAACGTTGACTAGCATGTCGAATTGCATTTTCATCGGAAAGGGCACTATTTTCGACGAAAAATAAATAACATATGAAAGCGTATTGTCAAATAAACATGGCGCGGGTAAAAGAAGACTGCTTTGTGCCAAGGTAACTACAACTTGTTCACCGTTAGTTTGCGAGACAGGTTTTCAACAGACGTTCATCGGATATGTACCTGAAAGTTACCGTACCGCGGGTATGTACCACTGGATTTTCAATCGATGTTTTGTTTACAAAACGGCTTATCTCAACAAGTTTTTGATACCCTCTTGATTTAATACAACTGAATCAGTTTGGTACATGAGGTAAAATAAACTTTTTCGCGCAATATACCTCGAAATTACTCCTTTTAAGTTGGAAAATTTGAAATTGTGTGTAATTTTCTACCCATTCGCCTACACCCCAAACAGTGCAGCACCATTTTTTAGTTTTAGGGAATGAGTTAAATTACAAAAGACTATAATTTCTGCTGATTAATATAAACAAAACAATTCCAGATAGTGTTTTAGTGACGTTTATAAAAATGAAACTAAACTATTTTTATGGATATTCTCTTTATTACTGTCACTTTTTTTATTTGAAATTTTGATTTACGGATGAGAACTGCCCAAACACCAAAATGCTAAATGAATAGTTAAATACATTAAGTAGTAAATTTATACGGTTGTAGGCCGACCAATAAATATCTCATGAACGCTATTCTACGAAATGAAAGTTTGTTAAACCAATGTGTAGTGGAAGAAATACGGGGATTATCGGGTAAGATGATCGACAATCCGCTACTGTATGCATTTAGGACTTCTGGAAAATACAGGGTATTCACTCAGCCAGCAACCAATTAAAACAACCAAGAATGCAAATGGATTAACTACGAAACACAACGAAATTTAATTGCAGCCGCCATCTAACAACAATTTCAAGAGACTACGTAAGAAGCCAACTTTAACATTTAGCAATTTTGTTTCTGTCATAATTTTATTTCAAAAAATGTTTAACATAGAATAATAAAACTAGAACTGCTAACTTCACTAATATAAAGGTAAAAAATCAATGAATTTTTTATCATCATTAATTCAGATATTCTTGAAACCCAAAATTTCGACGCCACTGGGAATTCTGAAAATTCGGTCAGTATATTTCATCTGTAACTGTATTTTAAAGAAAAAATTAACAGTCTTACCACATATACACCTAATTAAATAAATCGAAAATATTTCTAAAACTCCGCTTCACAAAATGAATTTATAAAAATTTTAACTTTTGTTGCAAAATGAGTTTTCTGTATCGTCTTTCCGATCTCAATTGAAGAACCAAGAGGTTGGCAGTATGTACCAGCTTCGATGGCTGACGCAGCAACTCGGCATTGGAATATTTGAAAAACTTGTTCCCATATTTATTTAGCCATATCCATATACAGATCTGGTCGTTCAGTTGAAGGATGAGCGCGCGGACAAACGCGGCACAAACACAGCCGCAATGGGCGACCTGGCCATAAATTCAAATGTCAACAAATGGCCTATCAGTGCGGTGCAGCAATGCGGAATTAGGTGTGATTCAGGTAATTTTAATTTATTATAGGCATTAATCATTTATATTACGAGTACAATTGCGAAAGGGAGAAATAAGAGGAATATTTTGTCTACTAATATTATTACAATATAGCACTTTGGACACTTTTTGAAACGAAACAAAACGAAATTTACTTTCAATATAATAAAATTGTTTGAGGATATAAATAATTAAAATACGTTGTTGGTCAAATGAACATATAAAAGAAATTTTCTACACATTATATACAAATTATTATAATTTTTTACTTTTAGCAGAAAACTTTTTTAAGCACGCCTATGAAACTAATAAAATTTTATTGCTAGGCGTTTTTATACATGTTCAACTGACTTCGGAAAGACTATACAAGGTGGCTCATAAAATACAGTGACGGAGAAATTTGCAAAATGTTGTTTGTCCCTAGGAAAAATGTCAAAATGATTTTTTGGTTTTAGTATTTAAATGACTGATTAAATTGTATCAACTATAAAATATTTCTGACTTTTTTGTTGAAATGAATGATTTTATTTTAAATTGATTTAAATTCCATATTTAATTAAACTAACTGCTTCAGACCTAAATTAGCGGAATGGAAGAGTAACAACGAAACACAATCATCTCCTCATGTATCACAAAGACACTAAACAACCGGGCTATTCGAGATGCAGGTGTTTGTTAGTTTTTTTGGAGGCATTCGAACAAAACCCGATCGAGTTTCGATTTATTCCGGAGTTCGCCCTTTTCTTGTTAATTTCTGTTAGAATTTCGGTGCTTATGCAACTCTGCAGAACTTATGTTAATAAACATACAATTTTCTTAGAAGGGTTTTGGTTTTTTTGGTCCTCCACGTATCAAGTTTGACTACACCACGTGACCTATTGTATTCACCTTCAGCCAAAATCTTGAGAAGTGAACCGTTCGATCACAGCAAACACATAATTCCCCACCACTCGGTATAAGCCCCTGTATAAGGTAACGCCGCAAGGAGACGTTCCCGCATTCCCACCACGTCGTTTCGAGGGCAGTGGACAATATGTAATAAAACAATGTTTATAATAAAGCGAGGCACAAGAATTTGCCGGAAATGCCTAATCAAAATTCAAAGCACGCACGATAGATCCTTACGGACGCGTACGGTTTAGGAAGGAAAAATAATTTAATAATAAATGTAAGAGCCCGTACAGCTGTCGGAGAAGACGAGGTCCGGCGTTTGGCTATTAAATGTACACTTTGATAGACCATTCGACCACCACCAGGAACTTCTGACCACCACAAAGAATTCTCACCCACGAAAAGATTATTAATGTTATTGCCCAAACAAGTTTCGATTTTTAATAGAGAAAAAACACCTTATCTAGAATTAATTCAATTATACATTCGTACAAAATTGGGGGGATGACTTGGACCCAATCGGCTGTCTACGTGTATTATTACGTCTAAATCCGAAAGAATATTTTTTGCTGGAATACCTTCCGTAAAACTCACATAATAAAAGTGTAGATCCCTAGATCTGGGCGAGGTCCGGAACATTTTCAAAATTGCAAATATGTTTCAAAAATTAAAAAAAAATACCTACTTTATCTGAGTTTTTTACTTATATCTTGGACCCTATGCATGTTGGAAGAGGCAAAATAATCGAGTTTTTTAGATAATTGTTTAAAAATATTTTAATTGCTCCAAGGGCATTCTAATGTTTGTAAAAAAAACTTTAGAATATAATAAAACAATACACCAAACTTCATTAAAATCGGTTGGATAGTTTTCGCAAAATAATTTTTTGAAAACAATTTTCGAATTTTCAAAATGTGCCTCAAATAAAGCATATAGATACTTGAAAATTTTTTCACATAGAAAAAACCGCTCAACCTTTCAAATGGTTTTTAAAAAATTGAAATCGGTTGAATAGGATGGCCACAGTAAATTTTTAAAGTTAACACTCTTTTTTTTATTTTTAAACAATTAGATTACATTTATCAATTTGCCCCGACAGGGCAGGCGTTAGGGTGTGGCTAGATACGTATCGAATAAATTGATCGATGCGAAGCTTCAGATCAAAGGCAGATATGTACATGTTGTAAAACGACGCGGATAGTGAGATATACTTACATATTTTATTTGTAAGTTCTATGTGAAGTGTTTAATGTAGAAAAATAGACATAAAAAGTGCAGTATTTGGATTGTACAATTTTGCCGAGAAAGAAAATTTGTAACTATACAAAATTTGACGTGCATCATCAGCATCACATAAAAAAGGATTAATACGAACAATCAATGAATCATACGCGTGACCGAAAATTGACAAGAAGGTAGTCCAAATTCTTGGACGTTATCACACGCCTTGAGTATATATCTCAACTCATCATCCACAACAAAGGCCATAACATTTATTTAGCTAAATCACCGATTTGAAGTGTATCAACAACAAACCCATTACTGGATATGACATTTATAGCTTCCAGTTACGGTACCACGGCAAATTTAACAATCGGGCTTTTGTTGTATCGGATGAATGTGGAGAAGTAGGTCTCCACATAATGGGCCTTCGATTTTCCTTTGTAAAAAGCTGTTATCCTAACAAAAGTGTTATCTGGTTAGAATAGAACGAACGAATTATCGGCGTCCCGATGAATTTTAAGCGTTGTTCTTTTATTTCGCGAATGCGATAAGTTCCTTTTCGGGAAATACGGAATAACACTTACTGTTAAAGGAATTCTCCTTGTTGCTGTTGGTCTCCGACGACTGATAATTGTTTACTTGGATCTGCGCCCAATATCCGCTCGCTCGGCACCCTTCCGAGAGTCTCACGTTGTTTTTGCAGCAACTCCACTCCTTGCCCGACCACGGAGAGGGGTGGAAGTAAAATTTTACGTTTCTGTTACAGGCACAAACTAAAAGAAAAAAAAAATATTGGTCTCGGATTGCGATGATGTATGTATGCGAGTCTCTGATAAGTTGGGACAAAGCTGGGATCAAAATAAGACGATTTCAGCCATACCTCAAGAGTTACAATGGTACACGTCATCAACGCAACCTCGATGTTTCGGAAGTATATACAGGATGGCCCAACAGTCTGTGATCGAGCGGTGTCCAAACTTTTTGGAACACCTGATGTATTGTTGTTTATATGGTGTGTCCCAAATTTCAACTTAACGTATTGCTACTTAGTTGTAGAGTTGAAAAGTTGTATAAGCGAATGACAAAAGACGATCTGAAATTGTGCAAAGCAAGGGCCAACTATTCCTAAAAGTGTCGACTCGAACTGGAGACATATCTGGGATATAAGTTGTTATCAATATTATTTGCTCTGTTCTGTTTTGCATTCCTCTCAAGGACATTGATAATTCTGTTCACAGTATCTACATATAAAAACGTATGTCCTTTTTTAGCATGATAACATAACGTCAATGAGCAATTGCATATGTCAAAATCATGGGTAAAAATAAAATGACGTTAGATTTGCAACGATATGTGGTTGCACTTTCCAACAATTTATTAATAATTCTGGGAAATTTAAAATTATTCGAACAGGATATCCAATAATACATATTTTTTTACATACCTTTACAACCACATTACGCATTACGTGATTGTTTGTGCTAAAAATAGTTAAAATTAATATTAATATTTATTTAAAATAATAATGACATACAGGGTGTTTCATATGATGCGCAAATATTTTAAGGAGGTATTTAATAAGTAATTTTAGAGGGGGGGGGGGGTACTTCCAATATATTTTTTTCATTTTTATACTTAATGGTTTACGAGCAAAAAAATAAATTATTTTTGACATGCTTTTTGCAAAGATTCTTTTTTATCCACAGGAAAAGCTAAACAAATATGAACTAAAAATTTAATTAAAAAAAAAATAAAAGCTAATTTTTTCGGCCATCTTGAGATTTAAAAAAATGTATTGGAAGTACCCCCTATAAAATTACTTTTTAAATACCTTAAAATATTTACACATCATTATGAAGCACCCTGTATAAAAATAACGTGATTTGGTTTTATAAGTAGATTAGAGTAACCACTCGAAATTAAAATATTTGTAACCTACTTGCATTCTACGTGTTTACTTCAAAATTTGCTTCATTTTTAATGTATTTATACATTTTTTGAAAGAATTTTTTTAACCATCGTTTCAAATCCTGAAACTTCTGATTACCGCTTTATTGAAGTCTGAAGATGTAGTTGTATAACAACGAAACTAGCAGTATTAATAAATAAGACGTTATAAGATATAGGGACTTTTAATGTTAGTTTAGATGAAAATATAATTTTGCATATGTTTAATTCATTGATAAATGATAAATATTTTGTTTTGAGGTTTAAAATAGTAATATCCATGCAGATAACGAAATCCGGTTTGTCGATAAGTACTTATTGTTATTCAAAAATATATGTTTTATACAAAATTAGATAATGATAGCTATTGTAGTTAGGTTGAGTCGTCTTAATTAGCTGTGCGATTAAGTGATTAAAGACATCAAATGCTAGGATTTTGTTATTTATAGACATCTGTAAATGATTAATACTTTAGAAATAACACATTACAAATTTTTTACTTTGCAAGAAATATTTACATGACCAAATGGAAGGCAAATAATATTTTCGATAATTTACTTGATGGTTAATTATTTTTTAATGGAAAATATTTATAAATTTCTACAAATTTTCGTATAACAAGTATACACATTACACATATACCTTTTCGGATGTCTAGGATCCAATCGATGCGATCAGAGTCCGTGAAGGCCAGTAGGAAAAGCGAATAATCATTGTTGGATTGATGATACCCCACTAGGAAGGGCCAGAGATTTCCTTGGCTGCTGATCTCGTCCCTACCGAAATGTTCAATCGGTTCCACGGTATGGACAGTTTCCAAGTCGACCCTACCCCTTTCTTTCCGCTTCTAGAACAAACGAGACGATTGTTTAAATTGTAATTCGCATGATTTATAGATCAAGTGACTCGGGATAGTTTCTGCTGCCAATTCCTTAATGTTTTCCTGTAATTGTAACTATGAAGGTTATAAAATACAATCATTTATTTTTTAACCCTTAAAAGATCTATGTAAAACTCGTTTCCTACTTTCTTATAATTTTCTTCGATTGTATCCATCAGTTTAATTACGAAAAAGATTTGCAATTGATACAAATAAAAATTAATATTCGTCAAAAGTGTGAATTTTGCGTTCGCGTTTTATTTTTTTTCGGAAAATCCAACATCTTGTAGTTCAAAAACCAAAATTACAGGGGCAAATGTTTATATAAAACAGTTATCTGAAAGATTTAACGCTGACCAATTGGTATGAATGAATGACTAGGATGTTGGTTTATATAGAATTCCTTTCCTCGATACATCATCAAAATGTATCACTTTCAATTTAACGAAACATCAGCGCTGTCCGTTAGGCATCCCAAAAATGTGTTACCCTAAGAAACGACTATATATGTAGGTGATGAGTCAGCCGGTTTTACATTCCTCGAAAGATACTCACATAGCCACAAGAGAGGGAGACATTTTATTCAAATTAGGCATTACATCAGACCCTTTTTCGTACGGCCCTTTGGTAGTATTTCTAGATACATAATCCAATTTCTTTTACGTATTGTTTTGTTGAACGACAAGCTCGAATCAATAAAATACGAGGGTGCTTCACGAAAAATTCACCAGAAAAAGGAAGGCGATTTTCCTGTGGATTATGGGACTATAGTTTTTCGTTTTTGACATACAGGGTGTTAACATTTTTTATAATCAAATTTCACCCACATATTTTCCAAAATTCAATATACTTTACGGAAATTTGGCACAAGTTTTTGAAGTTGCTAAATAAATAGAATTGTTAGTTTGTGACTATCTGCTAGAGGTCGCTATCGCCCTCAGTGGCCCAATTTTTTTGAGGTTAGGTTTTTTACAATTGAATGAGAAAAAAAAATAGAGAAAACCCACAGTTTCTGACCATATCCCAACTGACTGTCCCAAAGTCAACCAACTTCTACTTTTTGTTGTGTATCTGTATACAGGATGCCTCGAAACGAATGGACTATACTTCAAAGGTTCAAAGTTTTTTTTTTAAAGTACAAGCCTTCAAAAGAAAATGTTTATTTTTTTTGAAGGACCGTAACTTTTTAAGGAAACAAAATTGTACCAAGCAAATGAATCTAGATCGGTACTTAGGAATATTTTCATTGAAAGAAGCTATTCTTGAAGTATCATCTGTTAGTTTGCGAACGCTCTGTATATTAAGGACAGAAGTAGGATGACTTTGAGACGGTCAATGGAGGAAAATTACTTGTATAAAATATCAATTAATAAAATCATCTTTATGGGTCCAAAGTTGATAGGAAAAAATGGCTTTATTTTATTAATATCTATCACCCTCTGCATAAAAAAGAATAGTATACAGTGTTCTATTAAAAAAAAAAACTAAAGTCTTGATTCATATCTACCTAATACAAAAATAAAAGACATAAAGGGGGTGCAATGTTACGAGGAATATGAATAACACTGTACAATTTTGAATACGAATATATCAGTTCGAAATATATTGTAACAACTAACGAAATGGATATTGGCTAATATTTAATAAAAATTCAATTTTTTATCTTACAATCTAGCGCCAAGAACAAACGTGTGATAAAAGATTAAGAAAATTGGGAGTGACTAGGATATATATCGATATACAGATCAATACAATCACCCTATGTACTATTTAAGAATTAATATGCAGAATATACTTTCTTACACGCTTTAAAAAATTTATTATGCAAGGAATTTTTCATTATCTACCACAGTTATCAGAAAATACCACAGCGTATTCGGAACAAGTTTTATTATTTTACGTCGAGGATAAATATTCCTTAAACCAATTTCATGCATTTAGATAAAATTTTTAAAAAATATATGTATTAGTAATTACCCAAACTGAGTCAATAAATTTAGGTTGACTTGAATAGAAAGTATGTGGACTATAATTCAGCCTGTGGATATTTTTTATTATTCATACAGGCAAGGACAATCGCATCTTTTAAAAGATTAGCTGCAACATGTAACGTAAAAAAGATTGCATACTGTATAATACAGGGTGATTCACTAACGGTGATCACAAATGAAAACTCGCATTCTTTGGTAAATTTTAAGGGAAGTCTTTCCTATAAAATTTTTATCTAGGGCGCTTCGTTAAAAAGTTACAGGGTGTTAAACTTAAAAAAATATTTTTAATTTTTTTAAATAATTTAAAAATTAGTGAAATAATTTGAAATTGGGCACATGTATTTATGTAAACTTTGTTTAAAATCTGGGGCCTTTTTCTAAAACTTAGATGTTGCAGTGGCGGAGATACAGGGTATAGGCGACATATTTTTCTAAATAAAATAGTACGCCACTGCTTTACAGTAACAATCATGATATTTTCGGATTCGTATTTCAATTTTCTACAAATTACTACTCTCTTATGTTCTACGAAAAAAGCCTGATTTGCGAATAAAACTCCACAAATAAATCCAGTGGGTTGAGGTCGGGTGTTTTCAATTCGTTTTTTAAGTTTTACTCGAAAATAAGGCTTTTTTCGAAAAACATAAAAGAGTAATAATTTGTAGAAAATTGAAAGGCGAATCCGAAAATGTCATGATTGTTACCGTAAAGCAGTGGCGTACTATTTTATTTAGAAAAATATTTTTAAAAAATTCAAATTATTTTTTTAAGTTCTGTATCTTTTTAACGAAGCGTCATAGATAAAAACTTTATAGGAAAGACTCCTCTTAAAATTCACCAAAGAACACGAGGTTTCATTTTTGGTCACCTTTTGTGAATCATCCTGTATGATAATTTCGATAGGTAAATAAAAATAAAAATTCATTGACCTTAAAAAAACGGTTAAATGTACTAACTTTGCAGGATAAATGGAGAAAGATTTAAACAGACAAGAAAATATTGTTTTATACAATTGTAAGTATTAAAATTTGCCTAACTATCTCTTGTACTGACTGTTTTATAAAAAATATGAAAATTAGAAACGGAAATAGTAATTTGCATTGATAGGAAAATGTGGTCACATCACAAAATAACCCAATACGTTTTTTCACGGAAACAGTTAATATTATCGATTTGGAACAAAATAACTTTCTGGTAAGATATTTTAATAATATTTATTATCATGTTTAATTTTTCCATACAGACGTCAATAAAACTTTGTTTAAACCTTGTAGGGTTACACTATTTTGATGATTATTATTTTTTTTTCATGAACTGCAGCTTGTTACCATAAAAATTTATTACCATTCAAATAAAAAAAGTTGTAACACTATTTTTATGAGTAGAACCAGCCTCAAATTGTTTGTACATATTTCCGAAACGCCTGGAACACTGCGTTTCTAACGAATTATTTACAAAAACAGCGGGTACAGAATAGTAGAAAAAAGGCCAAATGTTCTAAAACCGAATATCATAAACACTAAAGTGATGATCGTGAGAGAACAGAATATTCTCACTGGTACCCTTTCTGCGGTAGATATAATTTTAGAGTACGTGTATAAACCCAAATATTTTAAATACTCTTTAAACAGAAACATATCTAAAAATATACGGCAGAATAATTAAATCCAATGCTGCATTCACTTTGCATCCTAGACAGACTGCTTGTTTCAGCGAGAAAATCAAGAGTCTTGGGCAAGGATGGGACGAGAATATAAACTGGCAAAATGAAAAATGACATGGCTTTTAATCGCTCGAAGAAAAATTGAATTAATTAGATGCCATTAAGACTGCGGACTGTAGCTTCACATTTAAGGATATCTTACAGGAAAATCTAAGAAAATGCGACGTAGAATGAAATTTCAGGACTACTAGTTTAATCAAGCTCAAATTTTGTTGACTGATGTAAAAGCATAATGATAGATAGCACCTAACAACACTTGAGAAATAATAATAACCCTACGAAATAAGAATTTCGACGCCACTGAGTATTTTAGAAAGTAGACACTTAATTACTATTTCTAAAAAAAAAAATATATCTTCCGTTTTAATCAAAGAATGGGGAAATTCAAAAAATCATTGACGTAAAATTTATGCAAAATCATATTTCGTATAAAGAACGGTTTTTGAGTTGTTTTCGATTTATTCAACTGTGTAGCAAGCTTCTCTTAAAATAAGTAAATCATAACTGTAAATTAGTTTGTTCATGAAATAAGAAATAGTAATATAGTTCATGTATAAAAAAAATTTTAAAGGCAAGCTTTTAGTGACGTTATTTTATGTTCGTACTCTTCTCAGCAAATCCTTTCATTTGATATCCATATCATGGGGGTGCATTAAAAATAACTGATCCGCCACCTTTGGGAGTCTGCCATGTTGGATTTAGAATGACGTCACTTATCTAACCATGCATTGTCATCCAAACTAAACGTGTTTGCAAAATTTCAGCTCAATCGGTAGGGGACAACAACAAAATTCAGTTGCAAGATTTGACCCATAATAACAAGGCAAGTTAAATAAAAGCTAGTAAAAATTTTTTTTATACAAACTCATCTTTACGTAATTACTAAGAAAACAAAAGAAAATCGTTTCCCACTTACTTTCTCTCGAATTAGATCAAACTAACAAAAATAGGTTTTAAAAAATTTGTAATAGTAGGTAAGAGAAAAATAAAAGTCGATATTATTAATTGAACTACGTTCGTCTACTGTATTTCAGCTCTAGTGATATAAATCCGGAAGTCACTGATAACTATTACACAAGCTTTGATACTTTATCATTTTTTTTTAGATGTTTGTTGCAAAGTAATGTCTATGCGATTTTTCAATAATTAATGTAAACAACCTTAAATCTATTAAACATTATCAATAGTTTTAATTACATGCCCCTATACTTCTGTATTTCAGATAAGATATGCTATAACTGACGTAAATCGAA